GATACGAGAGAGCGCCTGTCTCTTCTTTCCATGATTCCGGTGTAGAAGCCGCCCACTTTGCTTTATGGCAAGGAAGAGGCAGATCTTTCCAGCTGTCCAGGATGGAGCAGGCTACGTTTACCTTGACGTAGGCTATCTGTGCAATAAGAAACCACACGCAAGCGATTCTGTAAAAATAGGGTTAGTCAAAAACCCTGTGAGCCAACGTATTGATGACGATGACTAACCTTGTGCGGGACTCGTTCAAAATCCAATCTTCCCATGAGACCGATATACTCGGGTCAACATTGCAGGGGGTATCAGTTATCGCCAAGAAGTGTATCCAAAACGCCTAGTCACCTATCAGCCAGAAATGTTACCGCATCTTTAGACCCACGAACCTCGTATGCGAACAGCATTTCCATATTATATTTCCGATGTTCGGTTGAGTTGCCTCCACCGTCAACGACACGCATAATGATGTAGATAATTTCTGCCTGCAAAGCCGCAAACACCTCGTGCTTGGTGTAAGTTATCATCTCTCCATGTCAGCTTCTAGCACAAAAGTATTACAACAAGTACAAAACTCACTTCTCTTAAATTTCGATCCTGCTCTTCCCGAACTGTCTTCCATAGGAACTGCCTAGTGTCGCGATTCCGCGAGGCAAACAGTACAGCGATGCTCATACAGTTAGCAAGAGGTTCTGGAAGGTGACTCTTGTCTTGATAGGAGTGTATAAATGGCGGAAAAGATGATCTCCGGATCATCATTAGAGGATATGAGCGCAGTGCCTTTCTGATGAGACTGGCGCTGTTCTCAGCCACGGGGTTGACAGTGTGTACACTGTTGAGCGGGAATGATGCTTCCGTCGTTAAAGATGTCGTAAGTCTGCCGTTGTCAATAGATGAGGATGCAATCAACCGATGCGCCTCTGGGGCCAATGCCATGTCTGTAACCTCGACGTCGTGGCCCAAGGATTCGAAACCGGAAGCAAAGTTCAACCCTAGATCAGTGCTACCTCCGAAGAGCACAGCACCGTCTGGTTCCATTGACTGCGCTGGAGCGTCCCAAGGCATTTGATCATTGCGGAAGAACGGCATTGTATCAACGTGGGCGAACGACTGGGATGAGGAAGCGTCCGATGCAGAAGGAAGGTGAGATGGCATTGCAGTGGCAAGTTCTTCGGTTCCTTGACTTGTTGTTTCGGGGTAAACACAGTCAAGGCCTTTCTTTTCGCAACGTGCACAGCGGGGTTGTAGGTTGCACTTGCATTTGGCTGCGCTGCATTCTCGGCATGGCTTTGGGCGGATTCGAGGCCGAGTCCTTGCACGGCGGCAGTACGACTGGTGTCTTTTCAGTGCAGTGTCTTTGGAAATGCCGCTTTGTCAGATTCCCGGTGAGGAGTGGACGCAAATACCAGCGAGTCGTCGGTCTACGCACCTTGTGTGAAGGGCTTATTGCATATTTCGCAGAAGGAAACGCCACTCGCGGCGTCGCCCTGAGTGAGGTAGCAGTCTAGACTCATTTGAATTGAGTTTTCTCATTAGATAGGATGTCAAGTGTACTTGTTGATTAGCGAAACCAAAAGTTGTTTGGGGACTATGAGCAGGGGCATTTATTCATCAGATTTGAAGAAGCATGGCAGAGTGAGAAGCAAGGTTCTCAAAGGTCATTGGTGGTTTCTAGAGACCTCAAAGAATCGAGTTTGTCAGCGAGGCCAGGAGACGTCCATGATGGTACGGAGTTAAGGCCAACGTCCGATCGCTGGGAAAACAACCAAGAAATCACTCAGATTACTCAATGATCAGGTATCGCCAAAGAATGTTATTTCGGACACAGTGAAGCACTAGAGAAAACGTGTATACTTTTATAATATGATGATAAAAACGACTATATATCACAGTTTTCTGCTATAAACGCGTCTTCGCCGGCATGAACGCAACTGAGCAGTGTAACGAAAGCTCCGCTGAGCCACATGCCTAATGTCTGTAGTGACATAGAATTAGAGGTGTCCAGAAGATGGGAAATGACCCGAGCATATTGGGACTAGTTGCGGGACTTGGAGTCAAAGCGTCAACATCGGCGGCTAGTAGTAATCGCAGGGCCATTATCTAACCGCGCGACTGTCTTTAAGAGAAGGTGATGGGTTTCGGTGCCTGTTGCTCAATGCTTGAATGGTAGGCCAAGAGTCGGGACTCGGAGTGATTAAGCGACTACATTACCGAGGGAGCCGACGGATATTTCAGCTGTGCTCGATTCTCTCGAGAACGCCGGCTATTCCACTAGGAGATCAGATGAAGGCCTTTGTGGGCGGGACACTGAGGCTTGAGCTCTGGAGCGATTTGAGTTCAACCGTGCGCTAGAGCCCGGAGCTGGCACTTGCCACCTGCTGTCGTGTCGCGCTCTGAGCAGCCGGAGCGACAGGAACACTTGGCGACTGACATACGATCAGCCAAAAGACCATGACCGAGACCGCAGGCGGAGGCTATGGTGTAAATACAGGAGGGTGTCGCGGGTGCATGGCAGCCCAATGGGTATGTTGCGAACGCCCGATGATGGTGTGGCGGATCGGCGGCTGCAGTTGATGGTGTTGACGCGGGTGCGGATTGACAGGGGCAGTTTGAATCCAATGAGGAGAGCCGCGGTGGAGGGCACGTTGTTTTTGACAGTGATAGGTGAAAGTGAGGATGCGACTCCTAGTGTGTTTGTCGCGCGAAAGATGGGTGATTATGGCGATTATACGAGCGAGTGAGAGTGAGACTGGAGTGAGCGCAATAACGAGAGCCTAAGCGCCCAACAACCAGTTGCTGAGTGAGAGTAATACAACCCGAGGGGCAAGCGATAAGACTTAGCTGAGGCCTAGGATGTGAGATAATTCGGGGCAACCTTCTGCCCCGTGATGGTCGGCCGCCTACGTTTGTGTTCAAGTCAATGGTAATCCACCATGACGACGGCAAACGGCTAACGGCTCTCAGCCAAGCTGTCGGTGTTGGAACACGCGACGTCAGGAACGGGGTGTCGGATGCTGGGTAGCAATACAGGAACAGCACATGGGGAGACTGGCCCCGATTGGGAAAGTGAAGCTGTACGACCTCATCGTGCGTCCATTCATGCATCTAGAAGAGACACTGAAAAAGCAGGGCCTGGCGATTCAGGGAGTCGAGTTAAATGGGTCACCATTAACGACCGGCACGGCGGTAAGCGAGAGACGGGAATTCATCGGGGGTTAACCAGCCAAGCCAAACCAGGCGACTAAATCACCGTCACCTGCTTGAGTGTTTTTTTTCCATTGAGCGCGGCCCTCTCAAGCGATCCCTGACCGGCTGATGGGTGAGGCGATGCGGTGAGAAGGGCTGGAAACGGAGGAGGGGAGGACGGAAGGGAAGGGGGGATGGAGGATCGGAATGGCGGGAAGAAGCCGGAGACCAGATTGGGCAGGGACATGGCCAGTGACGGAGGTGTGCCATGAGGGGTGAGGAATGAGTGGTGAGGTGGGCCGGACCCAGCTGAAGCTCTGGTGTGAGAGGTCAGGAAAGAAAAAAGTCGTGGTCCTGACCCGGCCAGTCTCATCCAGTTATACCTGCCTGTCAAAGTCACGAATCTGCCGTTCCGTTTGGTCAGTTTCGTCCCCAATCGTCTTGTCCTCTCTCGAGTGGCCAGCTGCAACGAGGCCCAAAAGTGTAAAGGAGCGCTCAGAGGCTTCCCCGGGGCCAATCGCCGGGATGTCGCCCTGTCTTAAACGGTCTGGGCTGGTCCTGTCGACCCCCCTCAGGGGGAGGGGTGACTTTTCGTTCGGTCTTCGGGAGTGAGCATGCAAAAGACGGAGTACCTAGGCCTTTCTAGTTGTCAGTGTGACTGCTGCGACAGCGAATGCGACTGTGATGGAGCTAGAGACGGGAGACCGACAACACCCACGATGAGCAGAGTTTCAATCCGATTGCTCGGCTTCGCTGTCCCGTTGATCCGTTGAGTCGGCTTTGGCGTTTACTATGTCTCTCACTGGTTCACTTCCATGTGTTCCCAAGAATTGCAGGCCATTGATATGGTGTGCTTGAATGAGAGACTCTATTGTCCGTCACCGTTGTGTATTTCAGGTCGAGATGCCCCCCTTGTCCCCTCACTCTAAGTCTTCTTTTTCCTTTTCTCCCCGCTCTTTCCTTTCATCTCAACCAACATCTGGTGGCCTCCAAGCACTACACATCTCGCCTGGGCCACGTAGGGGAGATCGGGTTACATGCAATACGCTCACCTACATTTACACACCGTCATATTGGATTTGGCTTCTATCGGTGTCACAAACGACATCTTCATTTCCCAGGCGAACTTCAGCTTGCAGATAACCCAACCTCTGAATCCCCACATCGCGCATTGCCCGGCTTACATCCGTCGCGAGTCGTCCACTTTAACAACGGCTAAAGCTCCCTTTGACCAGAGCATCTTCCGGGGGGGTTGATCCGTTTTCGAGTCCTTGTGGGGGCCGATTTGCAAACCCGTCCTCGGTCTCGTCCGCCCTTGGCTCTGTGCTCTGTCACCCAAGTCGGTACTCGCTTCCGCTTGGAACGTTGACAGTGGGGTCGCTGTGTTTTAGGGGCCGCCTGCTTTCCTTCACCGCATCGTCAACAGCGACGCACCTTGCCCGCCCGGAGAAGGTGCCCAGAAGTGCCCCGAGTGCCCCCCCGAGTGGCACCCTCGAACAGCGAAGAAGATCATTTTGGCGGTGGACTGGGCTCCCTCTGGAACCAGCCTCCCCCCTTCCTCCCAAGCACAGACGGCATACAATAGCTGGAGGTTTTCCCTGGAGCACCCTGGACCCTGTCGTCAATTAAAAAGACGGGAGGCTTCAAAAACCGACTAGTATCGCCCACACCAACACCACCATACACACCAGGTCACCACCGCCTGTGTGCGAGACTCGCACACCTCCTTCTCTTAGTCCAACATCCCCTCAGCACACTCACACACTCACACACTCTCTTCACTTGCTCGGTGACAGAAGTCGGGCAGGTGAGTGAGAATCATCATGGCCCTCACGCAGACGGTCACCATCATCAACAATTCGGGCAAGATTATAAGTACCGTAAGTCTTTTTTCTCTGGCTCACACCCGTTGCATTCTGCTCCCACCGCCCCTCTTTCAGGCTCCATGCCTCCTGCGATCCAGCCTTCGAATTCGGCCGTCGGAGCTGCGTGCGACACTCGACATGCAAGCAATGCAGACGCGCTACCAAATTCAGGCGAAGAAGATGAGACCTAGCAGCTGACGTATCATCTTTTGGGCTCTGTAGGGCAAACACCTGGCCGGTATCTTCAAAGAAGCCAAGGCTTCCTACCAGGAGAAGAAGGCCGCTATTAAGGCTGACCGCGAGATCCTCAAGCGCGCTCAAACCTTTGACACCTCACGCGATGTCGCTCCCGAGGTATTCGATCGCCGCTACTCGCACGATGACGGCCGCTCCGTAGCCAGCTCTCGGAGGAGCCATCGCTCCCGGCGCTCCCAGTCGAGCCACCGATACCATGAAGGCGATGTTGAGTACTATCCTCGACGGGCCCTGACCGAGAACAACCTCAAGACACATTCCGAAGTCTCGAGTGTGACGCCATCGAGAGCACCGCCGCCCACCGCATACCGAGCCCCCTATGCCGAAACAGCTGCTCGCGATATGGCTATGAGCCGCCCCAACATGCATCACTACACGACCGCACCGACATGTAGCGAGAGCCTCGCAGACTCCGCGACCATCCGCGGTTCCGTGGTTCCCCGGACCATGTCTATGCCAGTGATGGCCAAGGGCCACAAGGAGAAGGAGATCGATATGGACCTCGCCTACGGCAACATCCCTCCCGATCTTGCAGATCGCACCGACCTCGACCCCTTGACCAAGGAAAAGGAAGCAAAGACACTCGTCGCCCGGGTCGAGGGACTTCTCGACGAAGCCAAGTGCGTGCACCACTCGGCCACAGCTACCATCGCCCACCTGCAGGGAAACCCGGATGCCGCCGCTGCCGTTGCCCTGACCCTTGCCGAGCTGTCTACGCTCTTGAAGCAGATGTCCCCTGCATTCTTGTCGGTCATCAAGGGCGGCTCGCCCGCCGTATTCGCGCTGCTTGCTTCGCCGCAGTTCCTCATCGCGGCGGGGGCGAGTATCGGTCTCACCGTGGTCATGTTTGGCGGATGGAAGATTGTGAAGCAAATCAAGGATGCGCAGGCCCAGCGACAGGCCGCCATCACCAACGCCATCGCACTCGAAGCCCAACCCGCACAGCAGCACATCGAGTACGACTACGCCCCAGAACAGTATGACCCGTACGCCCAGCCTCGGGAAGGCAGTGTCACTTATGACGAGGCCTACATCATTGACCCTCGCCTCGACGAGGAGCTTAGCTCCATCGAGAGTTGGCGTCGAGGTATCGCGCCCTTTGGCGAAGATGAGAGCGCCGACATGGAACTCATTAGCCCCGAAGCCGCTCGTTCCATGCGCGGCGATCCGGACACCCGCACGGAGCGGAGCTTCCGCACGCAACGCAGCTCCAAGACGCACCGCAGCTCAAGAACGGAAAGAACCGAAAAGACGGAGAAGTCGCACCACTCGTCCCGGTCGCACCGTAGCACGCACGACCCGGATGTCCTCGAGCGCAAGAGCAGCGTCGCGAGGTCTGAGAGGGACGCCGAGAGCGTCGCCAGCAGCCACCGGAGCCACCGAAGCTCCAAGTCGAAACGTAGCGAGCGCGTGTCGACGCTGGCTATCGAGGACGGCAGCCGCCAGAAGGAAGACGAAGCTATCGAGGCGGTCCTTCGACCCAAGAAGAACAACATGCTCAAGACCCTGTTCAAGAAGAAGGAGAAGGAGCACAGAGACAGAGAGGAGCGGGTGTCTGCTCTCGTGTTTTGAGACATGACTATGAAGGAAGACGACAGATGAAACAACGAAGAACGGAATCGATGCATACGGCTCGGGCGGTGTCCCCAGCCTGGACGGAGTTGGGATTGTAATGGGTACCATGAACGGAGGACATGATGACGGACGGATACGCCCTCACTTTTGCATTATCATTGGGAAGAGCATCGTACAACCGAGGAAGGAGAGCAAATTTACAAGCTATTGTTACATGACATGTGAGCGATCATAAAGAGGAGAAACTTGACTACATTGTTACATGTTATCTCAGTATACTTCAAGATTTACTATTGTCCATTCCACCATAATCGGTCCATCAGTTGGCGGCGGTGAGGGCGAGTGCCACTTGATGATTGTTGGGGATTGGCCGACACAAAAGAATGAGCGACCGGCCACACCATCCATTAGCTTTGGATGAGGGGAGGAGGCGGTGCTCTTTAAGACTGCCCAAGTTATGGCCATCGCCGAGTTAGAGGCATAGGGCTGAATCGGAGAAGCGGGGAGGACGGGAGTCAACAACAGGCCACCACCAACGCCAGATCCGGGTATCAGCTGCGGCGCGGCGCAAACCTACTGCCGGCAGCGAACAGGTTGCAAGAGGAAAGGGTGCACATCGGGGAGGGGGGCCTACAGGCTCTCTTTTTGGTCCGCGAGTCGAGGCACAAAGGATGCATGTCAGCTTGACCTCTATTGCTGCTTCTTACGCAGCCCTCGAATCTTCGCCAATGCCGCCGTCCCCCTCGGCCCTGCAGCCATGGCGCACATTGGCCAGGTTTTTAAACGTCGCACAGCTTTTTCGCCTGCTTGTGGATTGGACGCCGGTTCCTCCAGCCGTTCGTTGAACCATCCCCGTCCCGGCTGAGGGCGAACGGAGCAGTCCTTTCTTTTCCAACACTGAGCTACGTCCCCAGACGTTCCCGAGACCCGCGGGGTTGGGACTGGCTAGGCGCAAGGACGCAACCTTACTTCATCCGTTGTTCTATTAACGGCTCGATACTTGCAAGGTCCAGACCTTTCCAAATCTCTACCTCAGCCTCAGGGTATGTGGACATCGCGTCAAGGCTAGGTGATCCACGTCGGGAGCCATTCTTCAAAGGAAGCTCGGTGCTGTTGGTGTGAGGGAGCGAAATGATCTCACAGCCCCAACTCCCGAGTTCCCCTCCCATTCGTTCCTCCTCCTCCACCTAAATCTCCCTTCCGTCGTCTCACCTCATCATCAACCCTGCATTGCATTTGGCCTACCATGACTTACGTGCCCATCTCGTCTCACCTCTTATCCTCTACAGCCCCGCAAGGCGAGGCCGGCACGAGAAAGAAGAGAGAAAAAAGAGTACCCCCAAAAATACTACCGAACGAAAGCGGGAACGCGACCCCGGCTGTTCTAGTCTTTTGGAAGGATTGCGGGCCACCTCACCAAATAATCAAATAAAGCCATTGAAAACTGGGACCGCGATTGAAGGCAGCAGCAAAATAACCATGTCCCTGGCCGATGTACGGCTTCAATGCGCCAGAAAACCGACTAGGCACCTGGATTTCAGTCTTTCCCCCTCTACCTCTCCTCGCTCAAGGCATATCCCGGCCGCCACATGCGGCCATCACCAATCACGCACAGCTGTGGCCCCCAACGTTAGCCGGCGACGCCCCCAGTCCTGCGCCGTCACCACGAGCTGAGCCAACTTGGCTGCAGTGGCCAGCCCCCGGAAGGATACGACTTTGCGCAAGGTGCAAACCAAGCCAAGGGGCAGAAACTCAGCGTGTGTGTCAAGTCATGACACCCTTCTCCATCGTCCGCTTGGTACAAGTACGGCCGGACAAGAGGGGGAGCCGGGGGAGCCACATGTCACACCCACCTCCGGCGAGTGTTGGTAGCAGCTGTATCTCCCCCGGGCCTTACGAGAGACAACACGCGAGCTATCTTATTAGTTCTTTTCCCTCCTCTTCCTTCCCGTCTGCTCTCCCTCCTCTCTTTCTGATCATTGCTCTTCTCAGCAGGGTTCTTCGGCAGCTTTCGTTTTTGTTTTCTTCAGCGCCGCTTGCTTGTCCCGAGTAGTCTTCGAGCTATCTAGTACCAGCCTGCGCCTTGTCGACATCACAACACGGCAAACTTCCATACGCAGGATACAATACCTCCCATTAATCAATCCTAGCCGGCTTCCATCCAATCTTACCCATTTAATATATCCGCGCTGTGGGCGCACAATCGCGGTCTCGCCCAACACCCATTGATGCCGCTACCTGACCACCAACTCCAAAGGTCGCCATTAATAGGTACCCTATCCGGGTCTCGTTCCGCACGTATACTACCACCAACATGGACGATCAAGGCCTCGGCCTGCGGGAGAATGCCGCCCAAGACCTGAACCAAATCCCAATGACCCCGCCGACAGAATGGCACCCTGCCCGTCAATTCGCACGGAAACCCATCCACGCGGCCCAGTCCACGGCGACGACGCCGGCACCCATCGGCAGCCCGCTCGGGCCCCACGGAAGAAGCCCGCCGACACCCTCCGCCAAATCACCACAACCGTCCTTTTCAGAGCGAGCTGCTGGCGCGGCGGCCTACTTTCCGGCCCCGCCCAGCGACAACGATGCCCCGTCGCACCAGCGTCCCCGGCCGGCGCCGTTGCAAATGCACCCGGTCGAGTACTCCAACTACTCGGGTTCATACTCAAGCCTCAGCACGCCATACACAGGAGGGCTTTTATCGGGAGGCCTCCCGCCCAAGAGGCCGATGCACGCCCGCGTCGACTCGCAGTCATCGGCGGCCGGCCTGCTCTCGCCGCCGTGGCAGGGCCCGCCGCCAACGAACCGGCAGCAGTCCATGTACTACCCGCCGGAGCCCGTACGGCTCTATAACAAGTACTGGCACCCATCGTGGAACATGTACTTTTTCCTGTTTGCCGGCATCGCCTTCGCGCTCGGGCACCACTTCTTCTACGCGAGGCTCGACGGCACCGTGGCCGACGGCCAGATCCGCATGCTCCGATACGGCGCGGCGCTGTCGTTTCTCAGCAAGGCATCTCTCGCGTCGGCCGTGATCCTGGCCTTCCGGCAGAGGGTATGGATGACCGTCCGGCGGAAGATGCTCACCCTGGGCGCTGTCGACTCCCTCTTCGCGGCGGCGGAGGACATGACGGCCGTGTTCAACATTGAAATCTTTCGCCAGGCCCGGGTCGCCATGATCCTGGCCATCTACGTCTGGTGTACACCCCTCGTGGTGGTCCTCACCTCCGACACGCTCACGGCCCAGCCCGCGACTATGCGCGAGGACACCATGTGCCCGTCGGTCCGCACGCTCGACTTTGCGCAGGAGGAGACCAACGACTTCCGGACCACCCCAAAGATTGAGAACCTCTTCGAGCTCTCCGTGTCCATGTGGAACACGACAAGCCTGAACCAGACGGACGAGCACTTCTTCGACTACTGGATCGGGACGAGTTGGCAGTTTGAGGAAATCTCCACCTCTGCGATCCTGGGGAAGAAGCCCATGGCCAGGACCAACGCCGGCATCGACATCTGCGGCATGGGCTACAACTGCTCATTCTCCATCAAGTTCCAGGGCCCCGGGTACAAGTGCGAGGAGCTGGCCAGCGGCGTGGGGGCCACGCCCAAGAAGCTTAACGGCGCCGACGTGCCGTTCAACATGAGTATGCTCGCCCCCGTCGGCAACCACACGTACATTGCCCACGCCACGCTGGGCGAGTACCAGAACCCGCAGATGAACGATTCGTTACCCGGCGGCATCCCGACAATCCCCCCACCGTTCCCGCCTCACCTCGGCGCGCTCCGCACGGAGCCTGTCCTCTTCTTCGGATACGCCCACGTCGACGACCCCTCCGCCGACCAGCCCTCCAACAACTCGGACCCACGATGGCAGACGGCATACACCCCCAAGGTGTTTGGCTGCGAACACCGCGAGACCGAGTATGAGGTCGACTTCAAGTACTCGGGCCAGTTGCAGACGACCCACGTCCGGAAGAGAACCTTCCTCGACCGCGTCGTCGACACGCGCTACCTTCCCGGCGTCGACGCCGTCGACGGGACGGCCGACAACACGACGGCCACGCCCGAGTCCAACTACATCCTGCCAAAAGACGTCGCCCGCTACCGCCGCGCCATGGCGTACCACTCCATCGGCCTGCAGTTTCGCAACTTTGTCAACGGCACCATCTTCCAGCCCAACACCAACGCAAACACCCGGGTCCTGCAGACGCGCATCCTCGACCAGCACAACTACCTCGTTGTCAAGGACTTCATGGCCGAGGTCCAGAGCCTCTACGAGGACGTCATCCTCTCCATGTTCGCCCAGCCCCGCCTCCTGGCCGTCGTCTGGGCCAACGACACGAGTGTCAAGACGGGTAACGACAAGGGCACCGACATGCTGTACCCCTGCACCCGCGAGCGCACCGACATCCGCTACAGGTACCACGCCCGCGACCTCTGGGCCGTCTACTCCGTCGCCATCCTCCTCGCCGTCGTCGGCGTCGCCTTTGGCGTCGCCGCCGTCCGCGAGGAGGGCCTCGTCCGCAACACGCGCTTCAGCAGCATCGTCGCCGCCACGCGCGGCCCGGGCCTCGAGAAGCTGCCCTGGGCGACGACGCCCAACAGCGACCACCGCCCCGTCGCCGCCGCAAAGGTCGGCTACGGCCTCGTGCCACAGGGCGGCGCCGAGACCTACGGGTTCGGGGTGGAGGGCGACGTCAAGCAGCCCCAGAAGGAGGACGCCGGGAGGACGCCGTCGAGGCTAGGCAGCCCGTTTCAGAGGAGCGCGTTCAACAGGAGGTGGTCGAGGTTGAGTAGCCAACCATAGCTGTAATGTTTTTTCTTTGTCGAGATATCCCCAAAACCGTGATTAGCATAGTTTAATGCCAGCGTTGCTTACAGTCTTCACCATCGTCTGTCCTTTTCCTGACAATACTGGCTTGTTTCATCTGGACCAACTAATGTTTTGCAAAGCTGTCGCCGATTGGATTGCACTTGTGTAACCCAAGGAGCCAGCCATGCACTCACCGCACATGATTGTTATTGTCAAAGAGACCAAGACGTTGGGTGAACGCTCATCTCACGGGTCTTGCACAACAAAGACACGCCTCACCAAAGGGTGCACCATCAGCAAATATGTCCCATGAACAATTCTTTTCGTGCGGCTGCTGTGCCTGATATCTACATTAAGCCATACAATGAGGTGGTATATGCGCTCTGTGCGGGCCTGGAATTTCATGCAAACGCCCGTCCCCTTTTTCGTGTCCCGCCCGAGGCCATCAAAAACGCCGAGAACATGAAGATGGAATCCCATCCAAATCCCTCCTACTAATGTCATTATGCCCCCATGTGGTTTGTCATTGATCGATGCTGTTTCCCCGTCGTAATATGCTGGCTCGTGAAAACTCCTATTGTCCCATCTTGAAAACCCCACCTTGTCGCTTGTCGTGTCGTGTACCACATCATAAGTCTTCAGCCAGAAGCGCTCGGACTTCTGGCTCGTTGAGAAGCTTGCGTTCGCCAAGCTCTGAAAGAGGCTTGCCATCACGAACAGCACCAAAGTCAAGAATCTGGCAAAATTTGTTAGCATAACCATCCCCCTTTGTGGCTGTGAAAAAGAAGACACCAACATACCTCGACATAAGTCAAGCTGTCACGCTGGACGGCAGCCACGCAGCGCCGCTCGTCAAACTTGACTTGCCAAACTCCGCTGAGATCGGTCAAGAGATCCTGTACGCACTCGCCGGTGCGGATGTCCCACATCTTCACCGTCTTCTCGCTTCCCGAAATGACCTTTCGGCCGTCATGCTGGAAGCATGTAATGGCGCCCGTGTGGGCCGTTAGGACATTCTTGCACTTTCCGTTCTCCGGATCCCAGATTCGCAAAGTGCTGTCGGCAGCTGCTGACACCAGTCGCTCGTCGCGCAAGTCCAACAACCCAACAAGCAAGCTATGTCCTTCGAGAGTGTGCAGGCACGCGCCAGTATTGAGGTCCCAAATCTTGACCAACGAATCCATGGAACCCGAGATGCAGCGGTTGCGCTCGTGGTCAAGGACAACACTGTAGACCTTCTGCGAGTGGCCGTGCAGAACGTGGAGGGATTCGCCGGTGCTGATGCGCCAAACTCTGACTGTGCTGTCGTAGCTACCACTGACAAGTGTGTCACCGTGGGCGGAAATGGCGCGGACCGAGTGGGTGTGCCCGGAAAGCGTGCGGATGAAGTAGGGGCAGTCAGCGTCGTTCGCCGGGGGACCGGTCTGGATGTACCGGCGAGATCCAACCTCGGGCAGGCGCCAGACACGGAGCTGGCTGTCGCGAGATCCCGTGATGATCAGAGGCTTCGGCGGCATCATGATGGGCTTACCATCATGTCCCTTGCCGGTCTCGGTCGGCATCAGAATCTGCAGGCATCGAACAGTGCTAGTGTGGCCATAGAAGACCTGAGTACAAAGGCCCTTTTCGATATCCCACACCCGAACAGATCGGTCGGTCGATCCAGACACAAGCATGTTGCCTTCGTACTGCAGAGCCCAGACGCCACCCTCGTGGCCCTCGAGCTTCTTGCGGAGCTTGCCAGTCTTGGTGTCGTAGACATGAATCAGGGTGTCATCGCTTCCTGTAATGATCTTGTCCTCGTCGAACTGCAGACAGGTGATGACATGGCGGGGGTGGGCGGCGAAGGCGACGTGCCCGGGCTTCACCTTTCCACTCGTCCAGCTCTGCCGGATCATGTAGTGGCGTCGGTAGAGAGACTTGAAAAGGTGCAGCTTCTGAAGACCCGGAATGCTCGTCTTGGGGTTGGGCACAGCAGCCGCAGCGGCATTAGCAGCCGAGAGCGGCCCCTCAGACTTGTGCTGCTTGACTTCCGACTGCATAGCTTCCAGACGAGCGGCGTCCTGGCCGCTGGCTCTACGCTTCGATCGGTCGGCGCTCGACATGTTGAGCGCCCGCTTGCGCTTGGAGCTTCGGAGCTTGATCGTCGAATCGGTCTTTACGACGGCCTTTGTAAGTTCATTGTCGGTCGACTCCAGCCTGTTCAACGGTCTCAAGTCGACCTCGGCGCCTGTGACGCCAACAGGATCTTGCCAGCCCCAACCCTGGATGATCGCCTTGTCAAGTTCCCCGGGAGGCAGTGTGAAGCCGTCACGGTCGAACAGCTCCTTCCATCCGGTTTCATTCGTGTCAACAATGTTTCGCCAATGCTTCGATACTTGCGCAGCTCTGCACAAGTCACGGTGGTCGAGGAATGATAACACGTGGAAGCTTAGCTCGAGAGGGAGTTGCTTCAAGAAGTCGCACTTCAGGGCGGGGGTCACGACATCGGCAACGAGACGCAGGGTCTTTCGCGGGCAGCGGCGGAGGAGATTGTACATGATGAAGCTCTTCATCTCGTTGGGCATGGAGTCAAAGCCCTCCATCATGGAGCGTGCGTTCATCATGGCGGTGTGGGCGTCGAGGTTGTCAAGTTGGGATGAGCTGTCGTCGGCAACCATGGACATGTCGGAGACGTAGCCACCCTCCTCGGTCGTCTGCGATTCGTTCAGCCACGACTGATCTCGGAAGCTGACATTTCGTCTGGCGACGATGCTGCTCTGCGGCGACCCTGCATCTTCATCATCAGAGTCTCTCGAGTTCAGCTGGGCGGCGGCGAGTGTCGGCGAAAGTCTCGGACTAGGGAGGCTCGCATCCTGTGCAGCCACGGCGTCGATGGAGGGCCGGTGGCCGACGGCTCTGATGGACTGCTGCAGCGACTCGTCGTCGACGAAGGGCTCGGGGTCGGCATCGGTGATGGGAGGAGTGGCGACGTTGCTGCTGAAGACGGTGACCGCGTCGCTGCCGATAGGGCTGGCAGCCTCCTGCAGGTTTGTTTGGCTCGGACCCGACTCGGGGGGCGTATGGCTCGCGCGGCTGAGATGAAGTGATCGGGGTCGGGTTCCACGTTCCGAACTGATGCCAACGACTTCGGAAGTGTCTGGGGTGGCCAAGTAGCCGCTTTGCTTGCCCTGAGTGAGCTGACGTCGAAGCCGCTGGGAGTGGTCTTCGGGGAAGGCGAGACCGGTGGGTCTGGGATTTCTCGACGGGCGCGAAGGCAGGACGGGGGACGGGTTGTAGGAGGGCGAGGGTTCACGAGGATTCGAACGGCGCGATCTCCGCTGATAGGCATCGGAGGGAGACTTGGCGATGCGTCGAGGGGACTCTTGGCTTGAGTCGTCTTCTTTGGGGATACCCGCGGGTTGCCTGTCGGCAGCAAGCGGCGTCTTGCGCTGCGAAACCACCCTTGTCAGCGAGTGCTGCAGTAGAGGACCACAGCGCGGAAGGAGGTCACATACCTTTTTGTAGACAAAGGGGTTATCTGCCATGGCGTCGGAGGATGAACCGGTGACGCTGAAGGAGAAGTTTGCGAGTTCGGGAGGCAGAGGTTTGGAGGCTAGCGGATATTCCTTGGAGTCGAGCTCGTGGAGGGGGCGAACCTCGCGCAGGTAGACGGGGGGGAAAGTGCGTTTGGTTGTCGTGGTGGTGGTTGTCGTCGTGGTTTCTATGCACTCGGAGACGGCCAACTGCAGACTCGTCGAGTCGGCGCCATGGCTGCTGGAGTTGTTGCCCTCGTCGACGGAGAAAGAGACGGTCTGGCTCGAGCGAGGCCGCCGCACCTCGGTGGTGTTGATCTGGGGACCGGGCGAGGGCGTCATGGTGCCTCTCAACTACGGCGATGGCGGTTGAAAGGTGGTGGGTAGCGTGTGGTAAAGGCGGTAGAGTTGACGGCGGGGGAGGATAGTCGCGGCCGAAGGAGGGGAATGTCGAAAGGAGAGAAGTTCGGATCGAGATCGGTGTGCAGGGCGGGATCAGGATCAGAGACGAGGTGCGTGGGAGGTGAGGGTGAAGGTGGACCAGGTTTGAGAGATGAGGGTTGGGGATTTCAAAGGTGGCGGGCGGGATTACGGTCGCAGGTACGGGTCGGGCAGTGTGAGTGCGTACTTTTGTGGAGGTGGAGAAGAATTTTGGCGGTAGCGCGGAGGAGGGAGAGAGAGAGAAAGAGAGAGAGACAGGATGAATGAAAGGCGAGCGTAGCGGTACGTAGTGGCGGCAAGCAGTACTTAGTGGCTACAGGCCAGCAACAAGCTCGCAGTGGCAGAGGTGCGACTCGCGTGAGCGCTGTGCAGGCGTCGCACTGGTACCTTTTACTGCTTGGATGGGCCCCTGAGGTACCTGAGTGAGGTGAGGGTGGTGGAGTGGGTGCACGGCACAGCAGCAGCCCACGGCACACACCGCAACCCGGTCGGAAGCGTAAGGTAAAAGGATAAAGGGGAGGGGAGGCTAAGAAGAGTTGTGTGACGAATAGTAGAGCAAGCGAGGAGGCGAGGCAATGCAAGGCAAGGCAGGTGTCGGTCAATAACGCGGTCAGACGAGGACGGTCGGCGGCCGGCGCATGGGGGAAAACGACGACAGATGAGCCGGCGGTAGAGGACGACGGGACAAGTGCCGGAGACGGAGGGGGACTGGAATGATGTCGAGATGCAAGGTCGAAGAACGGAAGGTTTCCGTGTGTGAGAGCAGGCGCAAGAGTGAGACTGAAACTAAAAGTGAGAATGAGAGTGAGGTCGAGGGACCAGTCTCCTTTCTCCCTATTCCCCTTTCTTGTTTGGTCCGGGTCCAGTTCAGTACCGGCAGTGGTGTTTTTTTCTTCTCCTTTTTTTCTTTTCTTTCCAGGCCGGTTCAGTGGTCTCGAGAGTCCCCTTCTTTCAGAGTGAGTGCACTTCAAGCTTACGGTGTAAGCAGCCTTGTAACGTGCATGCAATCAAGGCAGGCAGTGTCGAGGCATTACTCTAGTAGACGTAGAGACAGAGACACGGAGACAGAGACACAGAGAGAAAAGGCTGGGCTTGGGCTTCAGGGGTCTCGCCTAGACGCTGGGTGGTGGATGCTGGGGACTGGACCGGGACTGAATCACAGCGCAAACGTGACAAGTGGATCAGTCACCTCGAATCCTGGGTTGGCCAGGTAGTACAATCGCAGACAATGGAGGTGTCGGGGGACGAGACTGAAGCTGGAAAATGAGAACAACACACAATAAAAATAAACTCCACTGCCTACATTCAAGGCTTACATGTATTTCTCCATACCTGACTCTGTGCTGAGGTACACGGCCCCCTTCCTTGCTTCGATCTCCGTCCTAGTGGCCTCCACTTCTCTCTGGACAACGGCGAGCGTCACCGGGCCACTTCGGGCGAGTGTGTTGGGTGTTGGTTCCGAGGCGGCTACGGCCTGCATCTCGACCAAGGCTTCGTGCGCCGCTCACAGAACCGTACCTTGGTCTTGCTACCTCGGATGGCCGTCGATACTGTCATGAGAACACGGTTTCCATCGTCTGACAAGTCGATCAATCACGAAGAGAATTGCAACTCTCCGATGTGGCCCCCGCAGATATCCCGCGCTGAAACCCTCGAGCTTCGCCTCACGCTGACCGTTCCCTTACGTCTCAACTCGACTGCTTGCCTCCTTGTCCTTGGAAGCCGCTCCTTCACTCGTGCCTTGCTGGCCATGGTCGTCAGCGGAGAGTGGAGGACAAAAGTGGACGCCCATCAGAGTCTGGGTGTCCGTGCTTGGCCAGCTCCATCAATGTTCCTTGCAAATTGCGCCTCCGCCCCTCTTAGGTAAGGTATGTTCCGTCCTTGCTATTTCCGCAGTCGAGGCGACACGACACACCACACCACGGCTGCACTCTGGACCAGCATATCGCCGTGATTGGCGGGTACCCCTCCGACGCCACCACCACGAAAGCGGGGCATCCGTCTCCGATAGGGACTCGAGTACCTGCGCCGGCGTTTCAAGCGTGCAAGGTACTTGTGCCCGGAACAGACAGAAGATGGGAGGTGCTGTGCTGCTCGCGTGGGCTCCCTGGGTCCAGTGCCTGCCATTCGTTTTCTCTGCTTGGCTACTGCCCGTCGAGGCGCATTCTCACCCTTCCTTGCTGTCTCTGCCTCTGTCTCTCTCTCTCTCACCGTCAAGCACCCGCCGTGGCTTGCTCCAGTGCGCCTTTGTCTCAACTTTCTCTCCCAGTCTCTCTCTGTCCTTTCCTTCACGCCCTCGGCAACCTAGGAATTCTCCAGTCTCGCCCCTTGGTTTCTGCTTTGCCTAGCTGGTTTCCGAGAGTAAAGGACCCCCCATCGCCATTCCAGAAGACCAGAGGACCCTCCGAAATTCCGTCACTATGGATTGTTCCCCCTTGTCATGGCCGTGGCCCGGCCAAAATCTTCGAGACCTCGTCAAAACCAGCCCCTCGGTCTGCTGCCCACCCCTTCCCTGGCTGGTCCAACTGAGAGCTGCTTCGTAATGCGAGGTGGTTCCCCAGTGACATTCACGTTCTCGCGTCGACGCTAGCACGCTGGAACCGCCTGGTCCGCCTGTACGTATGGCTGGCTTGCCTCGCTTGCTGTGTGCCTTGTAACCCTCCCCCTACTGATCCGCCGCTGATCTCACACCAACGAGGGGGGGATCGCGTCTTGCCAGAGATCGGGTCCTTCCCCCACGAACGCGTTCCCTACCCGTGTCTCGTCTCGCCTCGTCCTCTCGCCCAACGCGCCGCGGCCAGTCTCGAGGAATGCATTGGTCCCCTGCACCCCGTGCCATCCATCCACCTACGCTCTCGCTGGCATTCAACCCCTTCATCATCAGGACCGCCATCAAGGGGACCGGCGACGGCGGCCAAGACATTTTCCGTTGCCATCCATCGGGTCTCGCAAAGACAAGAAGGTAACAGCGCCACCACATGCAAAGAGGGTTCGCAACCAGCCCGCACGCACAGATGCCCGCTGTGAGGCATTAGACGACATCACACTGCGGCGGCGGCGGCGGCGTCTAAAGCGATTGTTTGTCCAGGATGGCACCGAAGGTTGCGGCTTGCATCGAACCATTTGCACTGCCTGGCCTCATTCGTCCGCGTTCGTCTTCCGACTGCAGCTCGAATGACAAACCAGTTTATCTTGCTTCCGCAATGCACAGCATCCCAATAGTGGCATTCCCTTGCGAACTACCAAATGATGAGATTCTGGAGGTTCTGGCGGGTTGAAAGTCGCACCAAGTGACATCGCAGGCCCCTTCAGTGTCATGCGCAGTAACTTGTGCCATCGGCACTTGTGTCCATCACACGCCAGACACGAGGCTCTACCCAGCTGTGAGCGCCGCAGTGCTTCCTTGGCTGACAAACCCAACTAATAGGGGGATCGCCCTGCCTTGGCTTCCAACTCCATCCATCTGACTCTGGCCTCGTTCCGGCAAACGTTTGTGCAAACACTCGTAAGCAGGTCTTTGTCTCTCCCTCGGTCAGGCTTCCTCGAACATCGGCACATGATCAGCTCAAATCACAATTTGACTACCCCTCGCAGGCCTCTCTGTCTGTCTCTCTCTTTCTCTCTCTCGGGGCTTATGCCGCCCCCTTCTCGCCAATGGCCTGTTTGCCGCCGCCCGCACAGATGCGGCCTAGCGCCCCCTTCTCCGTCCCCGACCCCCGGAGCACGTCGAGGGAGCCAAGAAATGTGAACGGCTGCAACCACTTTGCAGGTCAGCACCCGCCGATCACCAGTCTGCTGGGCGGGGGGAGTCGGTGAGCGTGAGGTCAGGAGTCGCACAGGTTTACGCTGGGAATCGGAACTCGGTGACGACCCAGTGACGGGCCCCGCAGGTTTTAAGCATGGCTGCATTCTCATTGCGGGAATCGGGGGCTGCCTCTCCAAGACTGGCCCGGCGATCTGACATGGCTCCCGTTACAATAGTATCATTCATGATTGGGTATTCACAACGCCCTTCCTGCGCTTGAGGTGTCAAGGCAAAGTCATCCAGTAAACCGTCCCTCGTCATGTGAAGGTGAAAATCATCATTCGTAAAGAGTAAAGTAAGAACTGGGAAATCTATCGTCGCGATGAAACCTTTACATGGCCGTAGTAATTAACTCGCTCGCTCACAAAACAAAATGTTCCCCTAACCGGTCCCCGCCAACCAATGCAATTTGCCTCCAAGAAGGCCTGTAAATGCGTAGAAATAACGACGGCCGGTGTATAGCGGCCCGCCAACCCCGGGCAGCTTATGCAATGTAGACCGGTAGACGGCTACCCAGCAGCTCGCTCTTGGACACCTGGACGTCCTTTTTATGGAAGTCGTGCAGCATGAGCCAACAGATCATCCGGAAGACCAGGGTGCACCAGATGTCCCCGTACTTGACATTCTCGTCGTCCAAGGCATACAGGAAGATCTGCTCCTCGTCGTCGACCGTGTCTGCCGTCATCGTGCTGAGGTTCGTCTGGTTCCTCCTCTTCAGCCCGCCAAAGCCCACAAGCGGCGCCGCGGGCGAGATGGACGCTCGCCTGTCCTTGGACTCCTTGGACTCTGCAATGACCTTGCTCCGGACCACGCGGAAGTAGACTTCCATGAGCTTGTCCTGCTTGAGCTCCGGGGCCGCAGCGTCAATGTCCTCGAAGCGGAGGGGCCGCGCCTTTTCTTCGAGGGGCTGGTTGCCGCCGGGGGCCTTGAGGGTTGCTGCCTTTTCCGTCTTTTCGTTGAAGCCGGCAAGCACCTCCTGGATGTGACTACGCAGCACGTCCTTGACCATTTCCTGCCGTGAGCTTTCGAACGGTATTTCGCTCGGGGCCTCCGCCGGCTGGGCCGGCTTGCTAGGAGCAGTCTGTTGCATGCGAGACACGGTGGTGTAGTTGCGGGGCATGGCGGGCCGAGATTCCCTGGGCGTGGCCGTCAAGATCTCGTCCGTGTCGTCGAGCGCCGAGTGCAGGGCGTCCATGAGGGGCAAGGTGAGCCAGTTGCTGCGCTCGGCGGCCCTGAGGTGCTCCTGTATGCTCCGAATGTTCCTCCGGATCGCCTTCCCGACGACGCTCGTTGCATACTGCGGGTCTGCCTTGAGCTTGTTCATCTGCTTGGCATATGCCTCGAGCAGTCTAGTCAGGGAAAAGTTCTTCGTATCCCACCGATAGTGGGTCGGGTTGGGAAGCAGGCGGAACGCGCTCTTCTCAATGTGAAGCGTGCGAGCCAGCATCCCCACTATCTCAAAAGCAACTACAGAGATGACGTTAGATGCCAGAACCCCATATGGGTACAGAGGAATCAGGACTCACCGGGAAACAAATGCCCGATGCGCGCAGTGGACTTGTCGGCAAAGTAGTTGACGGTGTTTGTGTTGCAGCCGATGAGGACCAGGGTTTCCGCAATCTCGTGGTTGCTGGCAAAGTTCAAAGTAGACAGGTCTCTGGGCTCGTCGTTGGGGAACTGAAGGCGTCGGCCATCCGACGTTGATCTGTAAATGGTCGGGACGAAGCCGAAGCAAAACTCCTTGGTCTCGTCGACGGGGATAACGCGATTACTCTTGAAGCGACTGCGCCCGTATACTTGAAAGGTGAACATGATGCCAAGGTCGCTGACCTTCTCCCCTGTTACCGTGTAGCCGTTACCCTCGGCGCGGTATCTGTCGTTGGTCCTGTTGAACTCGATCCAGTACACGCCAAGCATAGCCAGCATCTCCACGATGTGGCACCAGGTGGTGGTGGCATAGGGCTTCTTGACGTTTGTCGGCATCGTGTCCCAGCTCCGGAGTTTCTTCTGTATGGCGATTGTCAGGGTGTACTTGTCGCTGACTTCCTTGAGCGCAGCTTCGACGTCCTCCGGTTTCTCGACCTGGACAGTCCCTTTCGGCCCTTGGGCGGACTCTTGTAGACCTTCTCCAAGTACTGTTCCCTCTGCCATTCCCTGGACTCGTGCTCCATCTTTTGCAGGGCCGAGAGCAGCGTCACCCACGAAGCCCGCTCGTTGTCGGCCGTGTGAACAGACTGCTTGACCAGCTCCTTGTCGGTCATGGCTGTCTTGTCCGTGCTACTCTTTGGATCTGGGAGTTCGGAGCGGCTGTCCCGCAGACTATCTTCTGACCCATCAATGAAAATGATTTGCTGGCCCTTGACGGGACCCTTGTCGTTTGTCGGCGGGCATAGGAAGATGACTGGGGTTTCGAATTGCACCTCGAATCGGAACTCTGTAAACTTGAGGATGCGCTTCTTGGACTCGGACCACCTCCCTATGACTTTGCTCCCGCAACTGGAGTAGCCGGCGGCAGAGGCATAGTACTGCTGTGCGACCTGGAGGAGGGCGGCGACTAGGGCGACAATAGATATGACCAGAGCGGCAATGGCGACGAACAGTTCCTTGTCATCGTCGTTGATGTTGTCGTTGATGACCTGGAGCGTCTTGTTGAACTGCGCTGGGTCCATGCCGTCCATAACCGCTCTCTGCGGCCGGGGGGGTCGTTCTCGCGGTTTCGCTCTGCCGGTATTTGCCGCGCCTTATCGTCGCTAACTGGAATTGGCGAGTGATCTGGTACACACTCGTTCGCAGCTGGTTTGCTTTAATGTGACCGTTCAAAAGGTGTGTTGACGGAGATCAGGAGAGCATGAGGAGGAGACGGCAGAGGAATATGACCAAGGTCGGAGAAGCCATGGAGGGTATGATGTACTCCAGCTTCCCGGCAGATCAGCAGGCTCAGCTGAAAAGACCCCGGGGACGCAGGAGGAGGCCTGACGTGTGTCGAAAAGCGAAAAGAAAGAAGGGGGAGAGAAAAAATTGAGAGAGCCCCCAGACGGACGAGGCTGCACGGTGAGCTAGCGCACGACGGCAACACAGCCGCTGGCAGAACCGGAGGGGAGAAGCGAGACGCGGCGGATGGCAGAGAGCACGCGGGTGGGATGCGCGACCCCGATTGCCCAGCCAGTGACTTTCCAGGCGTCTTCACGACCCAGCCATCCTCCGTCGCCAGCTTGCTAAGGCGGTCCTGACTGGTCTGCCGTTGGCCAACTTGCCTGCCCCATCACCAACCCCTGCGTCAGCATGGCTCCCTTGTCTTGCCCAGTAGCCCTATCGGTCGCTAGCTCGTGGCTCATATGGGGGCTATTCTGCTGTGCAGCAGCAGGCAGCGGGATTTCGAGGGCAAGGGTGGCTTCGCCATTGCCATTTGACGGGCGGTCGTCGCTGGCGAGCGGTGGGCGAGGATGGCGATGCAGTCGTGGTGCATATGTGCAACGCGAGGTATGTTGACGTGTTTGACATGGGAGAACGATTCCCGGATGGATTGACGTCCAAACCACCCCGTTTTCCAGGGCAGTGCTGCGTTCCCGTCTAAGGCAGAAGTCAGGACTAGGAGCGGGCCGTCGTGCGAACCAGACGTCGGTCGGTGCGGGCGGTGCAAAGGCAGGGAAAAGGCGCGGAAGACACGGCATGGAATTGACGAGCCGGCCCATCTGCCAGTGCTTGTTTTCCCACGTTTCCAAGCCAAGCCAAAAGTTAAGCTTCCATTCGTCCCCTCTTTGGCGTTGCTTTGCTGCCCGTCATCCGTTGTCTTTCAATCTCATCCCGGTGCCAGTAGCCAGTGGCACGGACCAACACTGACTGCAATGTGTTCCGGCCACAAGGCCTAGTAGGCCTTTCCTGAGACTGAAATACAGAAGCAGAGTCTCACTGTCGTTGATCATGGGCCAGTCATTTATACAGCCATCGAGGCAAAGTCGTACTACAGTACAGCCTCACTGGATGTCACTCCCCCCAGCTATCAAACACCGCCCTCAACTTTGACCTTGTGCGAGGAATCTAGCGCCGTTGAGCGCGGCTTGGGAATGAGAAACATGCGAAGGAACTTTGGACTTTTCGACATGGTGTTTGCTCGATGTCATTATGCACCTTGATAAGATCTTATGGCCCGGTTTACCTGGGGCGCTTCAACATCATGAAAAGAACGTTTGCGTCTTGCAACGCCAAACAACCGCCTACCCCCTCATGATGCCGCATCGTTCGGCTGACGATTGTGACATGACAAGAGCAGGATAGTGAGAAGTTGTTATATGCAGTGTTTCAATCCTTCTCGCTAGCTCTTATCTCAACGGTGTAGGCAAAGCAGGAATCCTGTCAGACGAGATGTCAGCAATGCCAAGTCCAAAGCATCTATACATCAAAGCCCGAACTTGTTGCCCAAGTGTCATCATTTTCTCCCTAGCCCAGCAACTATTTTTCGTCGCACTTGTGACCGGACACCAAGCAACTCTCCCTTGATCAACCATGGCTTGGCTCTTCACTCGCTCATATCCAGAGCGCAAGGCGGTCGATGTCGACGGCAAGGCGTTCGACTATGTCATCGTAGGCGGTGAGTATCGTCAGGTCGTATTCGCGAACACCGATTCCTGATGGTCTGCAGGCGGCACCGCAGCATGCGTTCTGGCCTCCCGGCTCAGCGAGGACCCCGACGTCTCCGTCCTCGTCATCTGCAAGGGCAAAGTCAGGGACACGTGGATCGACCGCGTCCCCATTGTCGGCAACGCCAGCGACGGCAAAGGCCCCCAGATCGAGACCTTCTGGTCGGAGCCCCATGAGCAGTGGAATGGCTGCAAGACGCGGACCTTCAACACGCAGGCTCTGGGCGGCGCCACGAGAATCAACGGTCTCATGCTCACCCGCGGCGCGCCGGGGAATTACAACCAGTGGGCAGCGCTGGGAAACGATCAATGGAGCTGGGACAAGTGCGAGCCGTACTTCAAGAAGATTGAGGACGCTGCCTGTTCTCCAGAGGCCCTTCACCGCGGCCATGGTGGTAACATTTCTTGGCGATGAAATAATCTGCTTCAATTGGAACTCACATGCCTTGTTTAGGACCTCTCCAGTTTAGAAAGAGCCCGATGCTGTTTGCAATCGACCCATAGTATGTGGCTTTCGCTGCACGCAACAAATGCCACAGTGGTTTCTAACATCTCACAGCATCCAAGAAGCCGCGGGCGACATGAACCTGCCGGTCCGAGACGATGCGAACGACCCAAGCGCTCCGGCCATGGGCCTCTTCACTACCGACTGCATGGTTGATAAGTTTGGCTACCGTCATTCGGCCCTGTCTGCGTACCTGCCAAAGTCAAAGGTCCTTGAACGCAAGGGAAGACTCACTCTTTGTACAGGCGTCGTAGCTACGAGACTCGAGACGAGCGCCGACGGTACAGAAGCAACGGGGGTTTACATCCTGGACCATCTCGACAAGCGACCAGGTAGGGAAGGCATTGTCAAGGCGAACAGAGAGGTCATAGTCTGTTGCGGAACGCACTTTACACCGCAGTTTCTCATGTTGAGGTATGTGCCGCGTCGAGCCCGCTTTTGATATTGGTGGTTTTCCCGCTCACCCTCCATAGTGGCATCGGTCCCAAGGAACATCTCGCAAAGCACAACATCTCCCTCGTGCGAGACATGCCGGGCGTCGGCGCCGATCTTCAAGACCACGTTGCCTTTGGCATCGCCTTCCAGGTCCGTATTGTCGACTCGTACCTCCGCATGCTCAACCCCCTCATCGGACTCTGGCACTTCATCCTCTTTCTCCTCTTCAAGACCGGCATGCTGGCAACGTCCGGAGCGAGATTATGTGGTTGGCTCCACTCGGACACTATTGACGAGTCGACAATGACCGTCAAACATCGCGGCAACGCCGTCGACGAGAAGCACGACAACACGGATGCTTCGCAGCCGGAGAATGTGCCCGACATAGAGTTGCTCTTCGCAAACGCTGCTTTCGGCGGCGAGAAGGGCAAAGGCTACTCCGCCTTTTTTGCCACGCTCGTGCAGCCGTTCTCGAGGGGATGTATCGAGCTCGCTTCGTCCGATCCTCTGACGCACCCCAAAGTGTACCATCACTACATCACGGACCCCCGCGACTGGGCCGCCGCCCGCAAGGCGGCGCGGTTCTCTATGAACTATGTGGAACGGTTCAGACAGACAAACTATCCCTTCAACTCGACCTGGCATCAAGCTCCCGGAGTCAAGGCTGGAAGCGTTGAAGGCAGTTGGCGGGACGTGACGGATGAGCAGATTGACGCTTACATCAGGGAAGGGTTGCTCAACTTCTATCACGCCACGTCCACCTGCCGCATGGCGTTGGAGGAGGAGAAGGGCGTCGTTGGCCAGGACTTGAGGGTGCATGGGTTCAAGAACTTGCGCATTGCGGATGCGAGCGTGTTCCCCAAGGTGACGAGTGCCCACACCGTGGCGCCGGTATACATGCTTACGGAGCGGTGTGCGGACTTTATCAAGAGCGATTGGAAAGCAGAGGCTTGAAGCCGGCGTTGCTCATCAGGACTCTCGGCAGCTGGGACTTGCCAAGGTATCATAATAATAGTCATCAATTGGTATTTCCTAACATCTCAGGGCGCCGTCCTCGGCACAGCTTCTAAATCGTCCCATTCATAACTTTGAATCTCCCTCACGCCCATCACGCAGTCACAACAGGTGCTCGTCAAACCAGGAGACGGCCTGGAGGAAGGCGTTCTCCTTGGCATACTTCTGGACCTTCTTGCTGAGGTCACAGCGGACGGCGAAGCCATGCTCGACGCCGGAGTAGAGGTTGATCTGGTAGGGCAGACCCGTCTTGGCCAGGATCTCCTCGGACTTGTGACGCTTCTCGGCAGGGAAGATGCCGTCAGTCTCGGCGGCGGCGATGGAGAGGGGGCCGGTGATGGCGGCGAGCTCCTCCTCTTCAACGAAGCTGGGGTGGGCGAGGTAGCCGGCCTTAATGCCGTCCTTGAAGTGGCGGACGACGTACTTGGCACCGAAACAGTAGCCGACGGCGCCAACGTTGGTCAGGCCGAGCTCATTCTGCATGTATTTGATGGAGTCGACGATGATGGGGTCGACGGCCTCCACGGTGTGCGGGTTCTTGCCATCGCTGCCCTCGGCGATCCACTTGGGGATGTCCAGGCCCGCGGGGGGCGGCAGACTGAGCTGGTCGCCGTCGAAGAGGTCGACGATCAGGGTGGTGTAGCCGTTGGCGGCAAACTGGTCAGCAACGAGCTGGGAGTTGGGCCAGATGCCAAAGACGTCGGCGACGTAGAGGATGCCGGTGTTCTTGTGGGCCTTGTCGGCGGGAGCCTCGGCGAGGTAGCCCTCATATTTGCCGGCGACGGTGATCTTCTTGCCCTGAGGGGTGCCCCTGTGTGAAAGATGTAGTTAGCATGGCTGGTTGTTGGAGATAGCAACAAGTACATGGCGGGCGGTGTGATGCTCATCTCTGAAGGTTTGCCCTTCCGAGAATTCAAGCTTTCTGAAGTGGGGGGAGGGGTTGTTGGGCAGGGTGGTCTCGGGCTCTTCTTACTCGTGCTTGACGCCGACGGTGCAGCACTTTCCGGGAGGGTTGGAGGCCATTGTGTATATTGGTATCGGTCTTGGTGTATATAAGATTCGAGAAAGGGGAGCAGGAAGGTTGTATCACGGAGAGGACTTGCAGTGAAAAGCAGAGGCTAAGAGACGGGGGCGAGCGAGCTTATAGAGTCTAATGTCTGAAGCTGGAAAAGACGTGGGGAGGGGCGTCATGGATGGTGGAGGGGCCCTGCGGACCAAGAGTGCTGGGGCCATTGCGTTGTTGACGTGAGGCATTACCAAGCGAATGGGGATTCCCAATAGCGAACTGGATCCCTCCTTTTGAGCAACGGGACTTGATTGCTGCCAGTAGTGTATATGTTGGTACCTTTGGTGGGTCGAGATCCGTCCCCGATTCCCTCGATGCCATGAATGGACTGGGTTGACTGGATGACCAGCCCGGCTGCGAAGGTTGGAACTCGGACGCTGTGCCCCCCCTCTCGATGAGACAAGATGGCACCCTGCATGGAATCTTCCAAACCCCACTTGGCAGAGCTCCCATCCCTCGGAGTTTCCAATTCTTCAGTGGATGCCGAGACGAGGGTTTGCAGTGAGCGGCGCGGTTCCGATCCGGCTTTGCGACCAGTGGTATTAACGGATATAAGGGAGACCAGCTCTAGCACGGATATTCAAGTGCTGGAGCTTGTGAAAGCTCTGACTTCTAATCGCCGATAAAGTGGAAATTCTTATTGACGATGCCATGCCATTACTTATCGAGTTCATCTTGCCGAGTCGGCGTCTTGGTCGGTGTCCCAGCTCAATAGGTGCCAGCGGTAATGACTCAAACCCTCCATCATAGGTAGCACAAGTGAACGTCGTAATTCCGTAATTCCATAGACGATTGCCCTCATAGACGGTGACACGGGGGACGAAGATGCTTAGAGTGAGGTCTCAAAGGAACTTCCCAGAGCTAAAGATGGGACTGCTCCTAGGGCTGGGGATGGGAATGCAAATACCTACTAGCCAGGCAAGCAATATCAAATCATCATCATCTCGTCCAGACTGAAAGCAGAATCGTTGTCGGAGCCGACCCTCCGGAGCTGCGTTATTGCCGTCCCGTGCCCGCCCCGTTAGCTTCTTCTTCCTCTCTCACTGAGCGTCGCTGCTTAGTCAGTCCTGGACCTTCACTGCTGCCCAAGTGCATTCATTGCATTCATTGCTGGACTGTCCAGCAGTGGTCTCGGGTCCTCGCGAGTCACCACGAGTCGGCAGTCAGCGCACGGCCCAGCCCTGTACGTCACTTCCCACGCCGTTCGACCCATCCGGATCCAAGACAGCGTCCCCACGGTCGTCCTCTTTGGCCCTGAATCGCGCTGTGCCGCTAGGTTTCCCTGTCCGGCCACCAATCCAAATCGTTCCTGGAGATCGGCCGCTCGGCACCATTTCCCCCACGCGACCTCTGCACCTGAAGAACTGCAGACTGCAAGCCTGATTGCTTGAACCGCTCGGCAGCACACATCGAGGACTCGCCCTATCAAAGTATCTGCTCCATTTCGCCGACGTCCCCTCTGCGCCAAGAACGACCGAACCTGCGAGCCCATGCGAATGGCGCCCATATCTTTTCTCCAACAAAGACAGTGAAGGGCTTGGGAATGGCGGCGAGTGAACACCGCGACGACCGAGAGGCTGACGACAATCATGGAGCTTCTGGAAACCCGACCATCACGCCTTCCGCCGAGCCCGTCGAGGCATTCCCGCCCATGCCGACGTTCGTTCCCGAGGGCAGCACCGCGTACGATGATGGTGGTCTAGCCACCAAGGCCGACATCAAGCTGTCGCACATTCCTCTCCCTCCGCTGCCGAGCGTCTCCGCGAGCGCGCCCCCTACATCGACTCTCCCTACCATACCCGGCGGCCACTCCGACGAAGACCAGTCTTCTGATACCTCCTCGACGCACAGCAAGCCTGAAAAACTGGACTCCTCTAACTCGTCGTCCACGTCAGAGCCTGCGACCGTCGCTGAGAAGCAGGAGGCTGAGAAAAAGGAGGGCGTGGCATCAGAAATTAGGGCCAGGGCCGGATCGAACTCTGCATCCATGAAGAAGAACCAGAGCCATGATAACGTTAGAAGATTATCGGTCGCAGGGATGCAGCAGCTGACGGCCCCCGAGGCTCTCCCTGTGGCCATTGTTCCCGACCAAGCTTCTAGCAACCAAGAACAACGAGCGCGCTTGCCCGTCGCGGACCAGCTGCAAGCTATTCGGCAGTCAATACTCAGCCAGCCGGCCTCCCTGCGACCGAACGGCCCTGTGACGGACGGTGGGAACAGGTCCCGGTATCAAGACGAGCCCCGAAGACCGCTTACCGGCAGAACGCTCTCGACACCCCCAACAACCCGGCGGCAATCACAATCCCAGACCACTTCGCCCCGCCGGAATTCCTTCTACACCGTTGCTCGGCCACCGCCGCTGAATCTTGATGGAAGCAGTCATTTCAACGCCATCAACCTTCAGCCGCCGACACAGAACAAACCGCCCCAGATCCATGTACCGCTGCCGACAAAGTCACATAGAAATGAACCGATCCCGCCCTCGCCTCTACCCCCTCGATACCCCTCCCGCCCATGTCTATACCAACCCATCTCCAGCTGGAACTGGCTGCCCAACGACCCAGCCCCCTGTACATACACCACTCGCATACGAACGATATCCCATACGAGTCTTACGTTGTCAAGTGGGAAAGGCTGAAGAATGTTCTCTTGCTTCCATCGTTTCTCGAAAGGACTCTCTATTTTGGAGCACTGGCCTGTCTCGATGCCTGGCTGTACAACTTCACCATTCTACCCATGAGATTCTGCATCGCTCTTGGGGTCCTGTTCAGATGGTGGGGTTACATGGCGGTAAAAGAAGCGCAGTGGATGATTGGCTTTGTCTGGTACGGATTGGGCAGACTCTGGGCCAGGGCTCGTCGACCAAGAGCAAGAGCGAGGACCACCTCGTCTATCCAGCAGGATGACACCGATCACCTTGCTAGTCGCGATAGGAGTCGAAGTCGACCGGCCGAGCGGAGACCGTCCGTCCCCACATTGGACCTCAGATCGCCGGATAGCGCCCCGACCATTCATCTAGAATCCGATTCCAAGGCGAATGGCAACAGGGTTGTCGAGCAGGAAGTTAAGCTGAACGGCAACGGGCACATCACTCATAAAGTGAATGGGTCTGCTGGCCACCATCCCTCGCATGCCTCTGGATACAGGACGCACCGCCATCGTAGGACGAAGTCGATGCCATCTAACCTGTCTTCCTTCCACAAGGCGGACCTGCTGCAGGGTGCTGTCATCCTCTTTAGCTCCCTGTTCCTGATGAAACTCGACGCCAGCCGTATGTACCACTTCATCCGCGCCCAGGATGGCATCAAGCTGTATGTCATCTACAACGTCCTCGAGGTCGGTGACCGTCTCTTGTCGGCCCTCGGACAGGACATCTTTGAGTGCCTATTCAGCTCCGAGACCCTGTCTAGGAACAGCTCTGGCCGTTCCAAGGTCCTCTTGCCTCTAGGCATGTTTGTCCTTGCCCTCATTTACAATGTTATCCATTCGGTCGCGTTGTATTACCAGGTCATCACACTCAACGTCGCCGTCAACTCTTACTCGAACGCCCTCCTGACTCTCATGATCTCCAACCAGTTTGTGGAGATCAAGAGCACAGTCTTCAAGCGCTTTGAGAAGGACAACCTGTTCCAGCTGACGTGTGCGGACATTGTTGAGCGCTTCCAGCTGTGGATCATGCTTTTCATCATTGGCATGCGCAACATTGTGGAGGTGGGAGGGCTTTCTGTGCCTGGAGCTGGCTCTGAGAACAGTGACCTAGGAGGCTCAGGGGCCATGCCTCTCCACAGCCCATCAATTCTGCCGTTCAGCTTCACAATTCTTCCATCGTGGGTTTGGTCTGGCGAGGTCCTCTCTCCGTTCCTCATTGTCATTGGCAGCGAGATGTTGGTCGATACCATCAAGCATGCCTACGTAAACAAGTTCAACAACATCAAGCCGACATTCTACAGCCGCATTCTGGACATTTTGTGCAAGGACTACTATACCAACGTAAGTCTTTACCTTTTGGACAAATCCATTTCATAGCTGACTTTTGCAGGCCTTTGTCTCACCCTCATTGACGCGACGGCTTGGTCTGGCCGTCATCCCGTTGTCCTGCTTGTTTATACGAGCTTCGGTCCAGACGTACCATATGTTCCTATCAACTCGGATTCCCACTCCTATCCCGGAGTCCACCCAGACATCCTTGTCTGTCGAGTCCGCAACGCCGTCATCGCCGGTGATGGTCGCGGCTCTCGATCGCTTGGATACGCTGCTACGGGACGCCCTGGGTCGGGCTGTGTACGGTTACCCGTATGGTGAACCCAGCGTCCAGAGCAGAGCATGGTGGACCTGGACCAGCGATGATGTGATTGCGGCAGTTACTATGATTGTTGTCTTCTTCATCGCGTTCCTGGTCCTGCTCATCACCAAACTGCTGCTCGGCATGGTCCTGCTGCGGTATTCGCGCAACAGGTACGCTAAGATGAAGCGCAAGGAACACATGGTCGCGACAGGCCAAGAGGAACGCGAAGTGTACGATGCAACGGGCAAGAGGGTCGGCGGCTACGGCCACATCGAGGTCACCGAGGACCGACGGAGGTGGATACATGCAGACGAGAAGGAGGGCCTAAAGGGCGGCAAGGGACGGGCTACGAAGCCGGAAAAGCCGCAAGAAGGGGACTACCACGGAGTCCAGCGGTACGAAATGATTGCAAAGAGGATTTGGTGATGGCGTTCTGGAGTTTAGCATCAGTTACACAGCATTGCATAGCAGGGCAGGCATATCGGGTGGCCTTGACTCTTTGTTTCTTTAATCAAGAATCCAACCCCATTTGACTTCATGTGCCCACCGGCTATCTATCGTTCGCGTCCAAGCCATCGTTTGTGTCTCAACCTTGAGTATCGCGGACTTTAACTACCACCAAAAGTCGTCTTCGTAGGGGTCACTCACCGTCAGGCCCATCTCCGATGGTAATACCATTCCTTCTCCGACTCCGTGTCTTCCATGAATATACTCCAGATCTCATCTCCTTGATAGACATACAGCTTGTAAAAACTCAATATGTGTCGTGGCATCCATCCATCACGCTCAAGGCCTGCCGAGACATTTGAATTTTCCGCATTCATCTGAATCAACTGCTCTCGCCGCCCCTTGAACAAGACGTAAAACGTGACCAATCCGAGACCATGGCGCTGGATATGGGTTCTGAGCTGCAGCACAAGGCCGGTGGCAAGTCAGAGGCCTGCGTCCTTGACGAAAGCGAGGCACAAACCCAGGGACAGGAACTTTACGACGCCTGGCAGGTTTTGGATGACATGGTGGAGCAAAGTACGTGTAGTATCTGCTACGAACCGTTGCGCAGCATGCATGTCGCTCACTGCGGGCACAGTCACTGCACACAGGTAGGTCTTCCTAAGGGAAGTTGGGAGGGGTGGATGGCTGACTCTAGAGGCTTAGTGTATCCGCAATGAGTTCAGAGAGATGGGAGAGCGCCGGCCCGTCCCGGACAACAGTCGCTACGTTGAGCCGCAGGTTAAGGTCTACGCTCCGTGCCCGACCTGTCGCGCCGAGGTTGGGCTTGAGCTGAACGAAAACGGCATTCTTAGTATCCCGGTTGTTATTGCCGTACGTGTTCTCATGTGCTGGATAAAAGTATTCTTGGTCTACAAGCTGAGCTGACACTGTGTACGCCAGACAGAGAAGCATTTGGTCCATCTCCGAAACTGGGCGAGATGGAGAAGAGCCGAGGACGACGAGTTGCTGGCCCAAGGCTTGCCCCTTCCTGAGACGGCATGTCCGTGGCGTCGGGTGGCTATCGGGACAACGGCTCGTTACAAGACTCGTTCAGAAGAGGAAGCCGAAGATGACAAGAACTGGCTGAGCGACGAGGAGTCGGAAGAGGATGAGCCCGAGGATGAGGCCGAGACTTACAGAACAAGGCCTCAAGATGAAACGAGGTGGACCTTGACGGCGGATGATGCCGTCGCCCACGATAATAGGGTCCCTGGAGGTCGTCCACCAGTGGTGCGGCTGATGGCATCGTCGCCTGCCTCCCACGGTTGGGGACCTGGTGATGCGCCACCAATTCCTGTTGCAGAGGCGGCGTCGTCTCCAAGAGCAGGTCCATCCCAGGCACCAAGCTATCCAAACAGGGGCTTTGGCCCCTTTTCCGGTGGCTGGCCTGCTCCTGGATCAAGTACCTTCTCCAATCGTTTGCTTATCCCGATGGTCATTCACCGACATCCACCTCGCATGAGAAGCAGACCCCGAGGAGATGAGAGTTTTGTGGACGGCAGCAATGAGGAAGAGGTAAGAGCCACCCTTGCCATGGTCTCAAAGTGGCGCTCAGCGAGCTAATGTGAATCCATGCAGGGTTGAGTGTAGGCGCTTTAATAGGCCGTCGCGGTGTCTGGAATGGTTACGCTTGCACTGTCCGCCCGTGCTGCCGATGTCGCAGCCCCTACGCTTTTTTGCAAGCTAGGTAGTTCCGGATATTGACGTCAACGCAGTAATAGAGGAATCTCGTAATCCTATAGTGTTATGGCAATAATCATCCCAAGTCATGCCTTGACGTGCAAAAAGGAAGTGGAGGAATCATCGGAACGCAAATGAATGTCTGACCTAGCGGGACGGCGCCCCACGGCAGGTAGTTAGAAACATTCCAGTGAAGAAGATCAAAAAGTAAGCAGGGGGACTGGCGGGCTCCGCTTGGCATCAGCCCCTGACCGAGTTCCCCCAGGATGCGGACTACTCGGCGCACAATTCACTTGTGACAACCCAAAAACGACTAAATCATGCTCGTGAGCACTTGATAATGACACCGAGGTTGTTCCCCTGCTTTGCCTAGTACCCTGGTTGTCTGCGTGCTCGGCAGGTCTTGGCCCATGTGCCTCGAGGGAGAAAAATATCGTCGCCAGAAATGGACTACGAGCCAAGTAGATTTGGCTTCTAGGGAGCTAGTCTCGGGACATTTAGAGTTTGCTGGAAGAATTTAGCGGTTCCAAATCCTCTCCTCAAGAATGGAGCTGGAGGCCAAAGGGGTTCTGAGCGGCCGTGATCCTGCTTTGTACCTGACAGGTCTCCATCGGATAGCGTTGGATGATGTAGTCGAACCATGCCGAAATTTCCAAGGCTGCTTTTCTATCGTCCACTTGAATTTGTGCATACAATATCAATAATACAATGAGAACGATTTGTGTGTAATGTAAGAAAGGGGTGGTTTGCGGCAGAGCTTCAGTAGAAAACTTCGGGGGCCGCTCCAGAGGCAACGGTTCAACGATGCCGCTGTCACTCGTCATTGATAGCTCGGCAATAAGACATCGAGCAAATTCAAGATGCTGATTGCTTTCCAATGTCCGCTAGACAAACTCAAATATGCTTTGACGCTCGTCGGCTGTGGTCGTCGTGTTTTGGCATGGTGGTGAGCGTGGCACGCAGGCTGACATTTCAGTACACACACCGTCCAAGCCGTTCAGTTCAGCCACTTGATGTGCCAAACTTTGCCTTGTGTCTGCTTCTCATCGTTGTTGACCTGCTATTCTCTTGGCCTGGGAAAATGCGCTGTTGGGAGGGTTGCCAGAAGGGAACCTCTTTCCGCTCTGGCGAGCAATCGCTCCAGGCCTTCCCCTGAAGATAGTTCTTTCCAGATTCTACCATCACAGCCATCTTGGGGCAGGCGCATACTCATCATTCGATCCATATGGATTCAAACAAAGAAAACGGAAGGCACGATGCATCTTGAAATTGTGCCTTCCCTCCGTTTGGACGCATTCTAGCTTTGGAACGTCAACAGCCAACATGGCTTCCCGTCCTTCACATCGTCCATGAAGACCTTGACAACGCATCTCCTTATACGTTTCTCATTTCCAAGCAGCAGTTATCGACCACAACTGAAGAACTTGCCTTTGGGCGTTCTCATCACGAACCCGTTGCGTCAGCTTACCTCCTTCATCTCCTTTCGCATAGCAGATTTGACATCTTCTCTCCAAAGTCACGCAACAGCTTATCCTTGGAGTCCAAAGTCGAGCCGGCATATTCCAGAGAATGATCGCCCCGAACGAATCCAGCGGTACCCCCGCCGCCGCTGAGCCTAGGACACCAACGTCAACTCCGCAGTCCCCTAGCACACCAGCACCTGCCCACCAGTGCAGGAGCTGCCGTGCGTCATTCTGCCAGCCTCTCAGTTGTGGCCATGTCTACTGCAACGAAGTGTGTTTGGCACGGGTTCCCTTTCTTTCAGGGAGGGATTCGCGAAGCTGATGCCATAAACTGACATTGACTAGTGTCTCAGTCCTCAACACAACCTCGCGCCTAACATTACAGGCTGTCCCGAATGTGATGGCAAAAAAGCAGCGCCGCCAAAGCCCTTGACGCCTGTAAGAAACCAGCTCTGCTGTTCTTCCGTGCATATCATTTCCACGACCATGGCTGACCCCATTTCTTCTCTCTAGGAGCCCAAGGTCGAACAAGAGCTCGACGACGAGTTCAGAAAGCAATGCGTCTAGCGGACCCGCCGGCTTTCCTGGATGGTAACGGTTACGTTTGTTCTCAACGCAGTTCTCTCGGTTCTTCTGATCCCCGCCGGCATTTTGTTCGCTATAACAGTCAGCCGCCTCGGTTCTAAACCCTTCTCTTAACCTGGACAAAGAAGAGGTGCAACACGAAAGGGATACGAGATGACAATATGGGGAACGTCTTGATGGATGACTTGGACGGTGCTTAATGCCACTACAGCAGTTTTAGTATACCCTACATCAGCAGCTTTATTTCGCTACTCCATGTGACTTTCTGCATTTTTCAATTTTAATATTTTATGTCCGTGACATGGTTAGGTTGCTTGTAGCTTCACAGAACCCGAAATTTGTCGTTGATGTGGTGCTACAGCTGCTTGATTTGCGTGTCCAATAGTTGGACCCCCTGTTGCCTTCATGGTACACGTTATCATTTGCACGTTGAAAGTAGTTACAGTGAAGCCAAACGCTGCCGCCGCTCCCAGAACGGTATTCCACCCCAACGCCCAAGTCCAAGGAAACCGCACACAGATCACCAATTCTACATGCGTTCCAGCCTACCGGAGGCCGGCGCCGTCTCCTCTCGACACTCGCTCCCAGAAACGCCTGAGCCGCCAAACCCTTCCAACACCCTTGGTCTCCTCCCACTTCTTGATGCCCTCCTCTCGCTGGCGTACCTCGCCCTTCCACACGCCCTCCACCCACTTCCTCAACCCGTCCTTGACCTTCTCTTTCTCGATGGCCCGCCGCTTGGCGACTAGGGCGGGTGCGACTTGCACCATGCTCATGCCGGGGACGCATTCGGGTGGGAGGACAGCCCGCTCGACGAGGGCCTCGGCCGACGGCCGAGTAGCAAGGCGCCGGGACAGGCGGATGGAGACCAACGAACGGGCCAGCCGGCGCGAGACGACCGACGTGTGAGTCAAAAAGATGGAGCGGGCGATGAGCTCCGCCAGCGAAGGGCGTGAAGGGGAAGATAGCAGTGGCGGCAGAATGGCGCGCGTGTGACGGAGCCGATAATGATGAAGAATTGGCGAGAGGGACAGGTGACGCAGGCGATGGTTGGTCTGTGCCATCAGCAGAGTTCAGCAACGACGGGGTCAACGGGTCTCAATGGGGCAGCAAACATGGGCGGGGGGGTTGGGTGCGTGAGATCGTAGGAGGAAAAAAGCAACCTCGAGGCAACAAGTCATTGTAGAGTCACTGGGACGTGGGAACGCCTACCCTCGAAGTGGACAACAGGTCATTGACATCCAGATAGCCGAGGATGTGCAGCATAATCTCGTTGGGAAGTTCAGAGATGGCGCCTGGGGGATGATACGGCGGTCGAAATAGCGTCAGGCAAGAGGATGGAAAGGAGGCCTCGGGGAACCACTGCTGCTCGGCACGGGCTCCATCATCTGCTTGGAAACGTGGTCGGGCATCAGCGGCCGTCGTGTACGTGGAGTCGAGCTGCGTGTGAATGGCATGGCCAGGGCCGTGATCGCTGGCGGATACAGGAACTGCTGGAGACGAGCGTGATATGGCAAGTTGGCGGTTCGGGGAGAGCAGGTGGTCTGGGACCGAATCGTCGTGCATTGCGTCCATGGCTGACTCAGTCGCCTGCAAAGCGACAAGACGGTGAAAATCAGAGCGAGAAAATTCGCGCTCCGAGGAGCTCAATTACAGCGACGATATGGCGATGTGAAATCTTGCCAATGGCGGTTGCCGGCCCCTAGAGAGGCTTCGAGAAGGTCACGGAGTCGTCCCAGCGGGCGACAACCGCGTTCCGTGACTATGACGGACTCTCTGGAGCCCCGATCCGATGCCTGTCCGATGCCAAGCACAGAATTGCGTAACCGACTCTCGAGAGAATGGGACACGCGAGGAGGGAGAGGGCAGAGGGACGAAGACAGCGCGCAACGAGCGGTACAGGCCAGCCGACGACAAGAAACGTCGCGTAAGGGTGACGAGATGCGCCGAGGACGTAACGGCCAGAAGGCCAGAGTGCCGCGCGGGTCTCAATGAAACAGGGCGGGCGCCTCGCGTGAAGACGTGTTTGCGCGCGCGTGCCGAAAGGTGACTGGCCGTTCGAGACCCGACCGGCGACCGGCAGGAGAAACCGTTCGTGATGGCGGGACGGGAGGAGAAATGGCGTCGGTTAATGCGGGAATAAGTAGCGGAAGCGGAAGAGGAGTGGCAAAGAACGAGAGGGGGGCGGCTATGGTAGAATAGCGATGAGAGTAGGTCACAACGAAGTGACTTTTGTGCAGCCGGCCATCAATAGAACCATAAGTCGAGGTTCGAATCTCGGGAGGGCGCAAGGGAGACAGACTAGGGCAGGGATGCCGAGGACTGAGACAGGATACAAGGTCGAAAACGGTGATAAGAGTACCTCAACGACGAGGAGGCGCCTATCGTGGTGAGGATGTCGACGCCGTCGGCCAGAGTCAGCAGCAACGGCTAGGACGATAAAAGTTGTTTCCCCAAAATCGCAGGCTCCGCCCATCCGAGCTGAGAGGCAGAGGCGTGACGATGTGGGGGGTTACTGGGTGCGCCTTCCTGTCTTCGTACCATGATGAGTGAGGAAGGACTGAAGGAGTATGCGAAATGCATTGCAGGCTTGCGCCTCCATCGTTCCAGGCTGCGTCACACGGCCCAGAATGGACCAGGAACAGGGGTAAGACGAGTCACAGTGCGCGCCAATCGGCTTTTGGGCGAGATCCTGTGCTTGTTTGGCTCAGTTCAACGGCGCCGAGTGACACTGTGGAGGGGGTGGCGTTGGTACGTATCGTCTCCGCGAGCCGTCTTTGAGAAAAGTGCTTCCAAGGCGCAGCGGTTAACATCTCGCCCGTTCCTCCCCCCACGAGACGACAACGTCGACATTAGGTCGATGGTTCGTCAAAGAGGCCAAGGGCCGTAGGGATTGAAAAGCGCACAGGACGGAAACCACTGCCGCCACCTCGTGTTTGTCAATCGAGAGTCTGGATGATGGAAACCTTGATGCTACTCCAGATGCTGGACACATACCGTTACATTGATTGGGGACTTGACCGTCAGTCTCGCCGGTCTGCATCGTCCATAATACATTGCCGCAGAATGCGTGCGACCTGGAGCATAAGAAATCTGTCGCAGACGGGAGGTGTTCGCCTGTTCTGCGCCTTCTCGCTTTGGCTCTCCCCGGCTTGAATGCATGCACCTTTGGCAACATCTTTCCTCTCCCCGATTGTTAAGGGGTGTCCCTAGTGGATCTGGTCTGAGGCGGGGCGTTCATCTAAAGGGATGCTCCGTAAGACCCGACCCGCTTTTCAGGTAGCTCCCGGTCCGGCTTAACTGCATCTTCCAACGTCCCGATGTCCCGCGTCTTCAAGCCACAACGCCGCCATATGTACTCATATCTCGAATCATTGAAAATGCTACACATGGTATGCTTCGACACCAAATGTGTCTCGTTTTCACGCTCAACTGCGGACACAATGTTCGCAAATACCTGGTCCGTCGGTCAATTTCTTAACGAGGCGTCAGACATGCCTGCTCTCCCTCCCCCCTCGTCCCGACGTGGACATGGCCTCTCAATGGGCCGTCAAATACTTGGCCACTTTCAAGACCTTTTTGGTGATGAATCATCCTGGAGATGAGGGCGTCCCCCTCTATGCTACCTGGGCACTCCCCCCTGGACCACATCGTTGGGCTTCAATCAACTGACACTCGTCACAAACCTGAGCATGAAGAACCTTGACCCTGGCCGCATCGCCATGTCATCCGCTATAGCCTCGCAACATTGGGAGCTCGCGTCGCGGCACTACCATTACACAGCCGTCAGGTGCTCGCAGTCATAGTGTTTTCATGTTGCACTGCGCCTAGCTAAGTCCGCTTCGCGCGAGCTCCTGCGCCGGTCAATAGTTGACCGCGCGGAATATGGGCCACCCTTTCCATGTATTGATTCGTTCCATCGCGTGTCGCAATGAGCCACCAGCATGTCTGCAATGCTTCTCAGCTTTCAAACACGTCAATTGTGAAGCAAGTAGGAGAGACCAGGCTGCACCCTCTATCAGGCCCCACTTTCATTATCCGCTGCATCGGCCGGAGCTTTGAGTGCATCGAACGACATCGGGTATTGCCACACGGCATGATGAACCAGATGAACATTGGCATTGGGCAGAATACACAAGCCAGTACACTTATTCCCACGGGCTACGAACACCAGATTCTGCTACCAACCGTCTGCTCCATCATCCTCGTCATTGTTTTGTACTTGACCACCCGCCTTGCCGCGAAGAGCGCATCGCGTGTTGTCAAATCTGCCTTGACTTTTGTTGTGTGGGTGCGGCCCATTCCTCTGACCCAACGCCTCGAAAGTCGGTCCTGACCAATCATATCCTCCCCTGGGTTTCTTTGCGGCTGCAACAGAAACACGCCCGTTTTGGTCGACCAACATCCAACCTAACCCCTGTCGCCATGTCGACCCTGCCTTGTACTGACATTGCCTTTTTCTGCCCTCCCTCCCCGTGCTTGACAGCCAATCTTATGCCAATTTCCTTGGTCCCAGTCACTGTTGCTAGTTTCGGCAGCATGGCTAAAGGTGTAAACTACCTGCGGGTTTCCTCACCGGTATGATCGCCAGACAAGGAGCATGACGCAGCTCAGCCTGGTTGCTCCACCCGAAGTACATTCTGCTGGTCTACATGAATAGACCCTACCATCTCGTGGCTTTCACGAGTGGCGTGCTGACGTGCGTTTCTTCTGCCCGTCATTGGTCTTTATTTTGTCGCTTTCTACCAAATGGGCCCAATCAAATCTAAAAGAAAGGTGCATCGTTTCTTCAACACATGATTCGCAAAATCCAAGGACTCGGGTAACCTGCGAACGCCTTCCAGAAGTCTAGGGTGTTTATTGGCCTTAATCCTGCAAGCTTTCTCCGGTCCAATCTGTCAACGAACACCATGGAGATTCCCGAGTGGCAACATCAGAGTTCATGGCGATACACACACACACAAACACACAAATCGAAGTACAGCTCGCGGCGATTCCTGTCCAAGAGGGCTCTCCGTTGTTACTATGTCCTAGCCGAGCTCGTGCTCAAGATCCTGCTCAGGGCCAACGGGCCGTCCCGTTGGTTCGTAAGCTCCAGTCAAGGTCGCAAGAATACAGCGACCTCACCGACGGTGGATCACCCGGCCTTACAACGATACTGGGCCGCGACAGTGGCCTCATCCACGCCCTTCCATGGTTCTCCAGGAGGTTCCTCAGCTACCCCGCCAGCAAAAGTGTTGCCTTAGTCGCCCAGGTGGCACCGCCGGTCAATTCATTTGCTACTTTTAGTTGACGACGGCCGTGTCAAGGGAAAGTAGCCACCTGCAGGGTGTAAGGTCTGGGTTCATTGGTGTCCACAGACGCAAGCCTATCCAGAAACGGTCCCCCAAGTTGACAGCGCATCAACAGTCCACACAGGGGATTCCCTACTTGTGATCCCTGAGCAACCCTCAATAGGTGGTGTTGCCATTGAGAGATATGTTCGCGAGACCGCTTGGCCCGCCCATCATCCATATTCTTCCATAGGCTGAGCTGTTCTCAAAGGAATCTGGGTCAACGGCTGTGATTTGATATAGACTTGCCAGGCGCATCTGAACCCGCCGTACCCTGAGCCTGGATACTACAATATCCTGGTCCGTGTGTTTCCCCTGGCTGGACTAAACTCCCGCATGATTGTCACATCATTGCAGTCCTATCTTGGTCGCTATCAGTGGTTGCATGTCTATCGTCAGGTAACTTCACACATGGAATTACCCAAGAGGAGCAATGGCGGTAGAGCATTCCAGTGAGAACTAGCATTGTTTTGCAACGAGCTGCGGATGCAGATGAGAGCGCAATCTGTTCAATCGACTGTCGCCGGGGAGCATCGTCCGGCGGTTTTGACAAGCCACATGTCATCCACTAAGAGGTTCAGGGTAAAAAGCGGATGTGAACCGCAGTCCTGCATCCATGATGGGCGAACCAGGCGCGCCGCAAGTCAGCCTAGAACTGAAGGGAGTGAGTTTACGAGGGCCTTTGTCAGGGGATACTTTTAACCTGATTACGGCCTGGGTACATGCACCTCCGACGGGGTTCTAACGTAGTCGATACGCAATGCAAGGTGGAACATCGGCCATGGCCAGCGGCCGGCCGCCACGTTGTCCTGCCCAGTGCTCTAACCAACGCCCGAAGACTTTGTTAGGGCCGTTCTCAGCTCTCTCACCTTCTTTGCCTACCATGACCCGCGGCGATCTAGACGCGAAGCCAGCGAGTTGTCCACATTGGGACAAGCGGAACGATGCATGTGAAGACATAGGCCAGCGGAGTCTCCTATGTCCCTGAACGGTTCACCTGATTTGCAATAGGCCGCATCCTCCTTAAAGCGCTATGGTTCGTCGACAAAGATGGACGCCTTTCTCGTAAGGCAAAGACAGGAGGAGCACCCCCTCCCTTGACGGAAGCAGCCCATGCATAGCAAGGATGTGCGGAGCGTCCGATTATTCGTTAACGGTGAAGTCGATCGACTGAGGAAACGGGATTCCGGCTCTGGCAGGTCTAGCCTAAAGTGACAAAGCCCTACTTTGATACCATGTTGAGTTGGTCTCGCCCATGGTTCCCTTTGCTTGTTCCTGCCCAAGTGGCTGCAGGGGTCCTGTGTTTGCGAGACAGTTGTCCTCCCTTGATGATTGTGCCTGGCCTGACCATGTGGAGAGCCATCAATCAGTTCCCCATGCTCAATTAGGCTCAAGTCGACCGAAGATGGGGGAAGAGAAGGATAGGAAGGTGGTGAAAGAGTCAAACGAGCATGCCAACCTTGCCGCTATGCCACCTTGATGACGTTCCATTCAACGCGGCAGGCAACAGCTTGGGGGTGGCCTTATGAAGTGGCCCTCGGTCAGCTCTGATGGCTGGTGGTGCTAACTCTCTTGGACGTAGCTTCGCCGTGGTGTCCCGTTCCTATGTGGTAGTGTGGGGGAACCAATGGCTTCACCAACAACGCCGCACAAACACAGCCTGGACTCAATGGTTCATGCCGGCTTCCACTCTCGCCAAGACCATTCCCCTCCAGGGGCACCGGGCAGATATCCCTGACATCTCGGCCCCCGGAATGACAGTTGTCTCGCGCGGGATAAACGTGAATCCATGATAGAAAAGAAACAAACTTCGATGGCAGGCAGGAGGAGGTGTGTGTGTAATACCAAGCTCCACAGCGGCCGCACGCAATGTGGGCGAGGAAAGACAGCCTTGTCTTTGGAGCGGGAGGCTAGAAACGCTGCCCCGTCGCTCCTTGCAGGTCGCAGCCCGCAGCGGGAATGTCGAGGAGGAGAATGCCCCAGGGCGGACTTCAGGGTTGTTCCTGGGAGACGAAAACTGCAAGTCTTCTGCAGCAAGGCACACTCGCGCATTGCCTACATGAGATTTTCGCTGGAAAGTGGAGCGATGTCGTCCGCCTTGCGCTTGGATGATACTGCGACCAGACGTGTGCAGCGATGGATGGGAACGTTACGGACATGAAAAGAGGAACAGAGGTGTGTGGGATGCCGAGTTTGTGCCTGATGAATAGACGAACTACATCTTGGCCAGGACCAGGGGTTCGCGGACTCAATATATCGAAACGGATGACCGGTGAACCAAAGGGCTAGGGGAAAAGAGAACATGTCACCCTCCAGCATGAATTCATACCTGATTTTTGACAGGCACAGGATATGTCTCTTGCCAGCGCCTCATGATGTCCACCCACACCAACTTTCTAAAGCCATATGCATTCTTTGCTCTTCCCTCTCCCAAGTCAGCCTAGACCAACACTTGCAATCTTTTGCCTTGAACCCCCCTTGCAAGTTGTGTCATATCTTTTTGAAGAGCTCCAATACTCAAAAGTGGAGAAATATAACGTCGAGCAAGGTCCCCTTGAAGGAGATTTCGAGGTTTCGACAAACGTGGCAAGCAGACGTCCTCAAATATCCGCCAGCCTCGATCTCGAGATGCAAGTTGGCAGGCGGTAGGCCTGATTTGCGGTCCAAGATTGTTTTGTCCGCAGCAGACAACGAACTCAATGGCGAGGAATAATTGACCAAACGGGGCAGATCCGAGAAGACACGCCACGACAACTTCCATGATGTTCTCGATGCAATGTCAATCACTTCCTATTTGTATACGAATTATACAACTCGTCTTTGAAGGAATGGGTTGTCTTGTTCGGTGGGCGAGTGGGCGTGTAAGTGAAGGTGAGTGGTCAACGGAATATTTATTCCACATCTCGAATCGGAAACAAGTCAAACAACCGCACGATAGTTGATCGTTTAATGTACATCAAGTGCGTATTTATGTGCGTGTGTACGTGAATAGTGTAGCGCGATGTAGTGTTGTCTGCGTGTGCATGGAGGCATCGTGACAACACATTGTGCGGGTCCCAATCAACGAGCTTGATCTGTTGACAAAGTATAAGTTAGCCTTGATTCCCCTCAAGCTAGAGGAGAAGACGCATAAGTAGGCAAGATTGTACACAGAAAAAAGCGAGACCAAACGAAGCCACGAAGCCAGTATCAGTCTGAAGTGAGTGTCAACAACCTCAACACCAATCCGAGAAAACAAAGGTCATCAGACGAACAATCAACCTTTGAAACAAGGGATACAAAAAGAAACGAACCATCTCACCTTGAGAGCCGGGCTGGTGAATCAACGTCAAAAGGGCGCACCCCCATTACCCACACCCCCGAGCCGGGCCAGCAAAAAGAGACCACCACTGCTGCCCAACCGCCTTTACGCCGGCAGAATAAAAAAATTTAAAAAGAGACTTCTCGATCGCGTTTGCGAACGACACTTCTTGTTCTTTCTGCCGGAACGGGCTGCCAGGCCACACCACTGCCGCTCGCTGCTCGGCGGGTCAATTTTTTCTTCGAATCGTACGGCAGGTCTCTTCTTGCGCTGGTCAGTTTCCTGTTTCTAACCATTGTTCGTTCTTATTTTCCTCACACGCCCCTCCTTCTCACATCGTTCATCCCACACATCTTCACCCCCATGACAACAACAAACCCCCTCCAAGCCAGAGAAGCTACCCCTGAAGAGGAGGGACCACCATTGGACACAAGTGACAAGAAGCATTGCTGTGTACAGCATGGTGCTGCATATTGTAGGGGGGTAAGAGGGAGGGGTGGCAACGTGGAGGAACTAAACAAAAGGGAAAACCAAAGGAAGGGACGAAAAAACATAAATAAAAGATGGCTAACAAACCTCTGTTCTGAGCTTCAGGTCCAGTACGGGAATACTTAGCATCAGTGACTTCATACCATACCCGAGACCCCCGAACGAACCACTTCTACTCCTCTCGCTTCTTCGCTGCTTCCTACTCCTCTCTTTCTCCTTGCCTCCTCCATTTGTTCTCCACCACATCTCTGCGCATAGCGAGCTAGTTACTTTCTCAAGCCAAGCCAGACGGACCGGCCCGCAGAGGGGAAAAACCCAAACGTTGCCAGAAAGAAAAAGAAAGTAAACGACGAGGAGAGACACAAGAGACGAAGAAACAGAGACGAGGGTAGAAAAGGGGGCCCGAACGAAAAAAAAAGACCAACGAACAAACCCCCCCCCCCCCCCCCAATCAAAACCCCCCCCCCCCCCCCCCCCCCCCCCCCAAAAAAACCATGTGTTACTTCTATCAAACACGATGGGCCTGCGGATATTGGAGATGGGGTCAGTTCAAACAACAGTGCAACAAGGAATACCGGACGGGCGAGACGTGCGGGCTGAAGCTCGTGTTCGAGACCATCCTGGATCCGGACAAATGCAAGCTCTGCTACGATATGGACAAGAAGCACCGCCGGCTCGACAAGATGAACAGGGACATTGAGCGCTGGCGCCGCGAGGGGAACCGCAGGGCGACTATCGAGCGGACAACCATTGAGGCACGGGAAGTCGAGCGCCAGATCCACGAAATGACGACTTCGCATTGGAACAGGGTTACGCTGGCAAACTGACGATCGTTGATTGTTCGTGGTTGTTTGGTCGTGGTAAGGATGAGGGGGTTCTGGATAGGTATGTTGAAACTCTTTTTGGCCTTATTTCTTTACTCCTCATTTCTTTCCGAGATTTTCCCCATATCCAGGTTCCCCTCGTCTGCTGTGCCTTTTTCCCCTTTGTGTGTGTGTGAGGTGAGGTGGGAGTGGCGGCAACGCTGTTCAGGGGTAAACCGATTCTGGGGCCGTAGGACCTTTGCTAACTTGGTTATGTCAGTGGCCCTGGAATCCTCCAATGCGGAAGACGGCCGATGAAAGAGGAAGAAAAGCGCAGGAGCAGTTGGGAGTCAGGACAAGAAAATGAGGGAAAAGGGGGAGGGCCAGCTTGGGCGGGACTGGAGGTTTTTCCCAAGTTGAGCCACGTAACGGCCGTTCATTCGTTGCTCTTTGCATTCTTTTCTTTTGGCCTTCTTTCGTGATTAGGCTTGGGACGGTCCTTTGAAATCTTCCAGAGATAAAATTTTGGGACGCAACTATTGTACACTCGATTCAACAGGAGGGCATTTCTTCTGTACGGTTAATTTGTGCGTGTGTGCGGACATTGTGTGCGCGCGTACCAAAGTACGTGTGCCCGCAAGTGAGACCGCTCAGATGTTTTCGTCGCAAGGACCGGCCCGCCGCTTAGACGGCGACAGGGACGTAATAGATGGCCCCTCATTATCGCATACCTCCTCTTGACCTCCCTTGTCGTCTTGGTCCCTTGGTCCCGTCATGCCCCTCCGCTTTGACCTAGCGGTAATGAATCCACCCTCGTAAGCTCAACGGAAAGAGGATGGATCCGAAGGTGTCGAAGTCGGAGTTCGAAAGGCTCGAAAAAGAACGAGGCGGCCCTGCTTCGGGGCACGGATTGAGGGGATCGAAGAATATGGTACTCCCACTTTTTTTTTCTGCACAGCTGCCCATCCAGCAGGTTTTGGCGTGCTTATCAGGCAAGCAAGTTGCAGGAAGCGGACTCTCCCGGCGAATGAGGAGGACATGCAAATGCTAAAGGTGAGTGGCAGTAGACGGCATTGCGTCAATCTGGCCAAGGTACGGCAAATAGCGGCTTTTTGGCGTGTCGTCCAGTCCTCTCATTGCCCACTGTGGTTCTTTTCTCTGTGCTCCAATGGCGAGCTTGTGAAGCCTGTCTTCGAAAGGGACGTCATTAGTCCTCACGTGTCATCGTGTAGCGGATGAGGCGACGACCCCGCGGGCATTGGATGGACCTTCTCATTAGCCCCTCTCCCGTTTTCGAACCCTAGCATACATACTCAAGACATTGAGAAGCGTACCTGTCATCTGACCCAAGGACAAAGTGGAGGGAGGAGCGGGAAGAACAGGTAGAAGGGCCTAGCGTAGGGGAAACCTCAGACTGGGGACAGATGCAACGGGCGAGAGGGTGGTGGGTTGTGTCGGGCTTGATGGGATAGGACTGGGAGGTCGCCCCATTTGGCTGCAGCAACCACCCCTCCTCTTCATGTCGTCCATCCCACTTCACTTCCAAGGTACCATTTCCTGGTCTTGTCTCCGCCAATGAGCCACGGGAACCGCACAGACTCCCGCACAACCCTGAATGGCGGGCATCAAGACTCTTCAACCTGAGCCTCCAAATGCCTCCCTCTTGTCCAAAAGTCAACGTTGCCCTCCCGTCCCGAGAGGCGGCCGACATTGAAGCTAAAGAGTGGTCGCTTCTTGCTAGGATGCAACATCCCTCGCTAAAGGGTCCACACTAGAAAAGGTAAACATCAGTCGGGAGGTGCACGTGGCCATCTTTCAATGGGCTAGACAACCCATGGCCTGCCGCTGAAGAATACTCAAGACGCATTTCATTGGCTCGCTATGGCACGAACCAGGGGGGGCTTCAAAGTGGGATGGATGGAATTTTTCATTGATTACTTCGTGGTCTTTTGGGCCCATTGTGTCCACCTTTCTCATAAACCTCGTTGTTGCCCAGGTGTTTTATACAGGGTTTTGACCAAGTACAGGGTTTCGACATAGAAAAGAAAAAGCGATATGTGAGTAAAAGTGGGTGCCTGGTATGTTAAAGGTGTGTGTGGGTTTAAATGTGTCTGAGTGCTGCGTTTGGGGGTATCGAGGGAAGGGGAAAAAATGTCGTCACTCCAAGCCAATTCGTCCCCTATTGCCGTGATCCGACGGGACCCTAGCCTTGTGTCGACCAATACGAGTCTTTGTGAATACACGATGAAAAAGAGAGGGAGAATAGCTTAACCGCCTGGCTGTGACCTCGGGGGTAGGGGGAAAAAGATGCCCCAGAAAAAGCCAAGGGTAGAATGATTCATGACCAAGGCGTGTCATACCATTGCCGCTGCTGCATCTGCAAATGTACCGACAAGGGGTTTGTCCGACTCGGCCTTGATTGCTGGGACGCCGCGTTGCATTTCGATCGTGTCATCTTCCTGGGGAAGCCAATCCACTTGGACACCGGCTGGGGCCTCGTCCTTGGACGCCAGCTTCGAGAGGAGGTGTTGGTACCGCACAATGCGGGCTTCTTGCCCTGCATACGCAAATGTAGTCGGCGCAGGCCGATGTGCGTGATCCTGCGGGGCAATCTCGAAAATATCGACCATATTGCTAGGAAGACCGATGTTAGCATTCCCGGTTCTGACATGAAAGCAAGCCCAAGGTCCCGGAGCTTGGGTCAGGTGTCAGAGTACGTACTCGGACGTCTTTGCAACAACTCGCTGCAGAGCCTCGGTCTCCCGCTGCACCTCCATTGGGTCCTCCTGTCCGTTCACACTCTGCTCTCCGAAGCTTCCATAGTGTACGTTATTTGGGTCGTCATAAAGGAGGCGTGATTCTTCGTCCTAAAGAAGTCTGTCAGCCTCCGCATACTACGCTGAAAGTGCGCGAGGCAAGAAGCAACCCACCTCGTCATCAACTTCCTTGTTTCCCCGCCCGAGGCATGACGCACAAACGCCCATCGTGATCGAGTAGTCGGCCGGTCTTTGGTTGGGTGATGCGCTATCTTCGGAGGTACTACGATCCCCGCACAGACAATATGAGGGCAACCGGGAAAACAGGTGTCATAAAAGAGTGGAAGAAGCTCAACAACCCAGCTTCGTACTGCAAATCGATGGCGGGGATGGCTGGAGCGATGGCGCGTGTTGTGATTATGATGCTGTTGGCAGAAACAGCAAGATTGCGACGATGGAATGACGTTCTTGTTTGGGTAGGCGGTCGCAGTCACGGCACGGATCATAGTTTTCACCGAGATTGCCCCACAGCGGGACGGGACGGGCAGCGCCGAGCTCCACGTCGAGTTTCTGGTCTTTGGGACGAAAAATATTGTAGGTCCCGGCAGTGAGTTCGAAACCTGGACCTTGCACCAACCCATCTGCTCACCTTATTCTGTCGAAACGGACAATCGCCGAACTTCAAATGGTGAACATACTCGGTCGCAGTTGCGATCCATACCATTCCTTGCATCTCTGTGGTGATACCGCCCAGCATTGCACTGATCCACCATGGAGTCTGGCTGAGTTTCGCAATTGTTCTCAGATGTCGGCTGGATTATCTCATCGACGCGAGAGCTAAGGTTGGGCCTCCCTTTGAACACGGACCTCAATATTAAGCCCTGTGCTGCTCTTTTCCCTCTTTTCTTCTCCCTGATCCCTAGGAACGGTCGCCGCTGCATACTATTGACTCTGGAACCCCCTTACAACCACCAAGATCACCTTTACACCTGTCCCTTCCTGAGATATTGATCATCCAAGTGGATGACGGGCCTACGAGGATGGAAATGCTATACAATCTGTAACTCCCTACGAAGGTTTTCCACGCAGGAAGCCTCCGGTTTTCCGCACCCTTTCTCAAGTCTAGTGCGCTTCGTGGAGCAATATGTCGCAATACAGGGAAACGGCATTCCTTCCGTGATGGCACAAAGCGCATCGCGAGACCCATCACCGCTATACTTGAGAGATCAACTGGATCGACGAGACATAAAAGCCAGCGCTCTCTCTTAACAAGATGTTTATTCTTTCGATCACCAACTTCCGCCTCGTCCAGTCGAGCTAGCTTCCGAACGAGCTTCCAGGCGCCACCGAAGTAGTCAACAGCATACCCTTACAATTTTCCTTATATTTCTCACTCTGTCTGCCTACACCACTCACTTTGCTATCCACAAAAAGATTTACAATGGTCTACCAAGTCAACTTCTTGGCTCTGGCCTTTCTTTCTTTGGCATCACTCTCAATTGCTCGTCCCGACAACCTGAGAGGTCGCACGCCTCCCATCCCAAACACATGCGCCTGCTTGCCCGTGCCAGAATGTACACCAAGCATTTCCACCAAGACCGAGACCGCCCACGAAACCATCTACCAGAGTCCCTCTGTAACTAGGCAGACTGTCACTGCAACTCTCACGATCACTCGTGCGCCGGTTATCGTGACTGAGACGGTCAGCGTCACCAAGTCCCTTGACGAGCAGGTGACTGTTACTTGCACCGAGGTCATCAGCGAAGGGCCTGATGGCACTGTTACCACCAAGACCAAGCCTCCTGGAGACCACGCCCACACTCGAACGAAAACGCGTACCTCTCATGACGGCGCTGAGACTCAGCCTCCTCACGACCACGACGACGGAGAGACTACTCGGACGAATGGTGGCTCCGCGACAGGTACTCGCACTGAATCTGGCGGCAGCAAGCCAACTCACCCTCCTGGCGGCGGTGACGACGGAGACGACGACGATGACGACAACAACAGCAGCGGCGGCGGATCGAAGCCAACTTCGGCCCATCACTGCAAGCACTGGGACGGCACCAAGTGCGTGAAGCCAACGGACGCCCCCAACCCTACCGGTGCTACTTCTACCGCGGTAGCAACGGCCACAGTTACGGGCACAACAACGCAGAACGCCCTGCCCACTTACTCGGTCTGCTCCGTTTCGGTGGCTCTCGTCACCATCTACAACACTGTCACAGCGACCGTCTACCAGAGTGGCCCCTCGCCCTCGACAGGTCCGGTGCATATGCCTCGCGCGCCTACAGCGGTGGCGGTGGAGTGGTAAAACTTTCTTCAAGTGCAACCTGGGTGTAGTATATGGATGGGCTATGCCGGGGGAAGATATATTTCTCCCCTTAATACGGAGGGTAATGGTGAAAAAGTAATGTTTACTAGAAGAGGTTCTCAACAATAGGTAGTTATTGAAGAAAATATTTGCTCATATGAAGTAGCTGAAGGTACACCTTGGGACGTCATATTATGAACCTGAAGTGAAAGTTTAAATTACAATAGTTGTACAACGCGAAGACGCCCGAAAGCCGCTCTTACTCAGCAAGCACCCTTGAAATGATGGGTAGCAGCATGGGAGACGCATCGTTACGAACGATAGCGGAAGCCCATAAAGTCGTCCTCGTCCTCGTCCTCATCCTCCTCCTCCTCGCCAACCGCTTCAACGTTCTCCTTCCCAGTGGCTTCAGCAGGCTTGCCCATAGGTCTAGTAGCAGGCGCAGCCGTACCCGCATCGCTCTGCCTCCTCAATGCCTCACGCTTTTCTTTCAATCTCCGAACCCTGGCCTCGAGCTCCTCCATGTCCTCGAACTCCGTCTCCAAAGCTCTCGTGGCCTCCTCCTTCTCATCCAAAAGATCCTTCTCGGCGGCAAGTCGCCTCTTTTCTTGTTCTTCCTCTTCCGTCTTCGCCGCCGCAGCGGTTTCCTCCGCCGTCATGGCTGGGGCAGCAATCACGGCATCTTCGGAGTACGGTGCTGTCGCTGCTGCGATGTCCGCTTCGAAAGCTGCCCACTCGTCTTCGTCCACCTGAGCTCTACCGGACCCAGTTTTCGCGGCTGCGCCATTCTCTTGTGCAGCTGGTGCCGCAGTTGCGTTCGCTGACGCTGCCTCCTGCGGAATCAACGGCGAGGGGCCAACTGGCTGCACAATCGGCGTCGAATTTGAAGATGTACCGTCCTTGTACGCGGGCGTATGGGGCCGTGAGGGAATCTGTATCTCGACGCCCTGAACAGGTGTTGTGGATGTCCGACGATTCAGCGACGGCGGCGTGAGCGTCACATCCTTGAGGTCTCGGTCCGACTCGCCGAGGGACAACCGGGAAGGAGTGCTCATATTTGTCTTGCTTCGCTTTTTCCGCACAGCGTCTGCCGCATCCTCGTCTTCCATATCCTCATCTGAGTCGTGCTTCCGCTTGTTCGACGGCGTGTCGCCCGCGGCTGCCGAACCGTTCGTATCGGTAGAGGCGTGCTGGACGGCCTTGAGCTTCGTCGTATGTCCTGACCCGCGGACATGGCCGTCCCAAAGTGATTCGGACTTGATTGCCTCGTGGCAGAGGGTACAGAGGAGCTTGCCCGCATCCGAATAGGCAGCATAGGGGTGCTCGATTCGTCTGGCAGCGCGCTGCTGACGGAGGAGTGATCGGACGTCGGCCATGGTAGGGTTGGGAGCGTCTTCGCGACACCTGATTATGTGCAGCTTCCCCTCCGATTCGTTTGGGGGCCGCGATTTTGGTCAATGGCGTGTTGATGGTGAAGGAGAGAAGGGGGATGAAATCATCTATTTACTCCATATTGCAGCCGCGAGCGACATAGCGCAACTGTCAGCTGGAGAGTGGAGGTGACATGGTGCGAGTGCCAGGTCAACGCACTGACACCAGTCCGAATCCGGAACAGCGGGGTTGCAAAGGAAAGACCTGCCGCCGCTACCCCGGGCAGCTTCCAGCGTCGGTGGACGGTGGTGCTCACCCCCGAACGCGCGCTGGGAGTCGAGTCGGCGCCTTCAAGGTCGTCTGCACCCGTGCGGATTGCTGCGTTTACCACCCACCAACATTTTCAGCATTACCCTTCCCGAAACAAGACTCTTTCCCTCCTGGGTCTCTCCGAACGCAAGCGGGACGATGATTACTCTGCCTTTCTGAGGAACTCTACGCTTCTCGTCAACTATCCACTGACTCCGACATCGTCAACATGGCCGACAACCCAGAGGAGCCATCGCAGAATGCGCTGGCCTCAACCTTTCCGAACCCGCCCCCGTTCTGGAGACAATTCACATCCGAAAATATATCCCGCCTCGAAGAGCTTCGCAGAGCCCAGGCCGAAAAAGATGGCGTCGCAGTCAAGGATTTGCCCGTCCGTCTACCAGACATCCCAGAAGACCTTATGAACCTTCAACCGCCGGCCGAGCCAGCAGCAGGCACCTGGAAGGTTCTTGGAGGAAATTATACTGTACGTTGCGTGCTACAGCCGTAAAAGCAATCACGAACAAGCTGACGATATTCGTAGCTCGACGACAAGCTTCCTTCGTTGGAGGAGGGCGAAATCCAGCGCTTGGCGCCGGCGCACTCTGACGAAAAGGACGACAAACCCCTCGATCGTGCATTCGAGTTGAAGAAGATGGCTAAGTCTCTTCTCTTGAACTTTTTGGAACTCGTCAGCGTCATGGCGACAGTGCCGGACGACGTAAGTTCCTCCCCGTATCCAATGCCGTATCCTCGCTGACTTTGAACAGGGCGCCGCCAAAATCCAAGACCTTCGTACTCTCCTCATCAATTTTCACCACCTTCTCAACGAATACAGACCCCATCAAGCACGCGAATCGGCCATCGCGCTGATGCAATCGAACCTCGATCGCACACGGGCCGAAACAGCAGCCATCAGGGCGCAGGTGGACAAGGCGAAGCGCGTTCTCGAGGGCCTTGGCAGCATTGATACCCCCAAGGCACCGGAAAATGTTACATCAGCCGTTGACGGTGAACTGACCGCCAAAGAGGCGGAGGCGTTTGGCAAGGCAAGGGAACAGGAAGTGTGGGCGGATGCGGATGCGTTGTTTCTCTAGCGGGGAGATGGAGACGAGTTGCCGGTTGCCGCGCTCTTACAGGCTATCGCTGAGTATCCTTACCTGCTTGAGGACGATGTGGAAGAGATGTTTGGGCGTTGGGAGGAGAACCAGGGGCGGTCGCAAGCATAGATACCCAATTTCACCAAGAAGAATGAGGCTCGGCAAATGTTACAGATGGTGGGGCAGGAAAAAACAGTCATGAACTGGCTGACGAAGTAGATGATAAAGAATGTCCAGAAAGGCAAATCATGAATTCGTGCTCGGCTGGCTAATGCCGGCGGCGAGCCAAAGCTGTATACGGTATCAAAATCCTCCCATTCGATCGCTAATGAGACCAATCTCCTTCCAAACTATTGCTTCGACGTGTCTCGCTGTCCCTGGATTACCATTTTACATGACGGTGCAAGGGATGGGGATGCAGCAGCACTCGTAACCATCGCACTCAATACACTTTGTCTTGCCGCCCGTGGCCTCTGCGGGCTTAACGATGCTGTCGACGATGGAGGTAGCAGCGCTGCCGGGGCCGTTACGGTTGACGAGGCCGGAGGAAGCTGAGCCGCAAGCCATTGCGATGATTGTTGGTGGTTTTTGGGAGTTGCGTGGAAAAGGAGGCTAACTATTCTGGGGCGTTGTCAGTTCTTGTCGCCGTGGACGACGTCTGGTGACGTAATTCCAAAGCCTGGACTTACGGTCGGGAATTGGTTGGAGATGTCTCAATTGAAGCGTCTGGTGTTGACGTGTCTTGCGAGCAATTGAAAGAAACGGGCGAAGCTTTGTAGAAGTAGTCAGGAAATCAAAGTGGTTATCAGACAAACACTCATAATCTCTCTCTCCCCCAAAAAGAAAAAGCGGTCCTGGCCCAGTCTCAACCCGGCCTTAAGTAAAGTGTCACCCCCCCCCCCCCCCCCCCCCATCCAATGCTTGAACTTCTCCAAGGTCCCGTGTTTCTAAATCCAGGAGAGTTGTCGTCATGGCGTGGCGGGGCGACGCACACCCAGCACCCCCTGCTATTGTGGCTGAATGGTACTCGTCGAATGGGGGGGGACGCGAGAAGAACGTACCAGACGGGGGCGGTGGGAAGTGGGAGGTGGCACCCCGGGGTGAGCTGGGCTGTCTATTGTACAGTTGCTGGCCATTGACCGCTCTCCGTTTCAGCATTCTTATGGGTCGAGTAGGGTGACATGCCGGGCTGTTGACTCGCAATAGCTTAGAGCTGGAGATGACCGAGATGAGATCTTCACATAACACCTACGTCCTTCAAGGGTCTTTTACGAGCAGAGGAGAATTCGTTGCCGTTGTAAGTATAGGACATTCTGGTCAACCATACATCGCCACGGGCGAGAGTTATCATGAGGCAAACACACAGCTTAATACCGGATTCCGAAAAACTTTGAGTTGACTTTGGCTGGCCCAAGTTGCAGCATTGACATACCGTAGCTTGCGATCATGCGAATAGGAATTCGTCTTTGAACATTCACCTCTCACCATACTAGGTATTTGCATGCTCGAGGGGTATTGTTCGTAAAATACTGTTCGATTGTGCTCGATTCCGATACAGCTAAACAATTAACTCCATAGTAAATCCCATTGAGCAATGGCCAAATCCCTCTTGTGAGGGAGCGGTATCTCCGTCTCTCAGTCCCATGACCTTGTGAAAAATGAAAAAACAAAATCCCAAGAACAGTTATGTGCCGCGAATCAGGGGCTATGTGCTTGATCAACCTCACTTCCATCCCCTCTTGCAATCCATGTAGATCATGCTGACGGCGCCACGCCCTGAGCACCTTGAGGAGGTGCAGGCGGAGGACCATCACCAGACTTACCGGCGACTGACGGCTGCTTCTCCAACAGTTGACTAAGATACGTCAGATCATCCCTTGCCCGTGGATCCTTCTCCAGGATGCCCGAATAACCTCCCATTCCGTCCGTGACATTTGATAGGCTTGTGGCAGGAGGAACTTCACCGTGGGACTGTTAATCAACGGACCCAACACCTCCTGTGCAAGGGCGTGACCCTGTTGCTGACGTTGTTGCTTCTCAACCTCAGGGCCGCGATTACTTATGTAGCCTGCAGGAGGCTGATTCGGCGGCACAACCTGGTGTGCTCCTTGTATCGGGTGCTCCTGCGGTGCGTGGCCGTTACCGGCAGGTGTCTGACCCGGCTGCTGAAAGGGCCCCTGAGCAACAGTCGGCGAGAATGCTGGTCCAGATATCGAAGGATGTCTTGGAGGGAAACCCGCCTGTGTAGGAGTTGGCGTGCTGGCGACGGGTGATTGGGAGACAGCACCGCCGAGCTGAGGCTGCCTTGGACTATTTCGATAGACAAAGACAGCCAGAAGCATCGGCTCCGTCCTCTTCTGAGGTACGAGGTTGTCGGAAAAGTTGAGCATGAACTCGGGTACGTTGCCCTCTCCAGGAAGAACGGGAACGAGATATGTGTCCCTCACATTGCCAACGCCCTTGTCGCCGACAACGGCATATCGCTTCTTGGAGACGAAGTAGTCGAAAAGCGATTGAAACTCGCGACGGGAGCCTTCGGAGGCTGGGGATACTGCCACGACGACAATATCGGTCTGGTCAGCGTACCGCAAGCCGCATAGATATTCTATAGCCTTCTGTTCGTCGATGCGCCCTGCTACCATGAGTCTCTTCGGAATCAGACTAGTCCAAGGCAACCCAATCGTGTTAGATAGGTTAGCCCCGCCGACGAACTTGGCTGAGGCCTGGAAGTCGGCAATCGAGCTCATAACCAGATGACCGCGCCAAACCACGTCCGGATCAGTCTCGTCTGTGGGCGAATAGGGCGGGGAATCCGTCTCTTCTTGAAGAAGCCTGTCCACATCGTGGTCTACGCCCGGTCCGTGAATTGGCGCTGATGGCCGGCGGTTGTGGGCGCTCGTCGGCGACTTGACAGTTGCATACACCTTGTTGATATCAAAGTCGGGATGCTTGGGCGAGTGACGAGCTCCATGGGTATCGATATGCAATCCAGAGTGGGCTGAGAGCTCGGCCGAGTTGTCGTAGTTTGATTCTCCTCCCTCTCGGCCACCGGGTCGTCGAATGAAGGTTCGCCCATCGTCAGTTTGTTGGAAAGAATCGTTCTCAACAATCTCCTCGCCCTTATGCGTTCTGCGAACACGAGGGCCGTCCTCAGTGATCAGGATGGACTGCTTCTCCGAGATAGCCTTCAGCTGGGCATTGGCCTCCTGTCTCTCCTTGGTGGCCAGCTCGTCAGCGGTCATGGTAGCCAGCATTGGCGGCGAAAGAGTGCGCTTCAGTAGTCGCTTGGTCAGATCGCCGTTCATCCTCATGTTTGCGTACAAGATCCTTGCTTGCGTAGCATACTGGCTCCGGTCCGGATGTGCATCGTGAACTGCCCGTTCGATCTCAAGAGCAAGACGCTCCGCTTTCGCCGCGACAGTGGTGTCCTTCGGAAGAGTGATGCTCTTGTCCTTGACGGCGGTAGTGAGGATACCAGCAATCGCCTTTTGCAGAAGCTGGGCAGGGCCCTTGCGATCTTCCTGAAGATCCGTAACCTTCGCATCCAGGTCGGCCGGTGCGGTGTAGCTGACGACAGGAGAGGCTTCAGGCTCTGATACTTTGCGCTGTTTGGGCGCTGGTGTCTGGAGAAGCTTTGTCAGTGATAGTCATTACACGAATTGGGGACGAGGTCTTACTTTGACGTCCTTCTCGAGGGTGTCTTCCCTTGTCTTGCGCTTGCCTGTGGCCACTTTGGAGGCTCCATCCTTCTTGTCCTTTTTCTCCTTGGTCTCCGAGGGAGCTGGCGAGTCTTCGGCCTTGTTGCTTCGCGTATCTTGCGACAACTCCTCCTTGGGATCGCTGGCGCGCTTCCCCCCCCTGCCACCCTTCTTCTTTTTCTTCTTCTTTTCGTTCTGTTCCTCCTCGTAGACCTTGCGGCGCGTTTCCCACGGACGCTCGCCCAGCGCCATGGCGGACAGGAGCTCTTTGTGATCTTGAGGAGCACATTGTTCGCAGTAGTAGTTCTTAGGAAGGTCTTCCGTGAAGACACTCATACCCATGCAAACGTTGTGCTGCCATGCTGTGCACTTGTCGCAAGCAATCCAAGGCTCTTCCGAGTCGCCGTCCTGTTCCGTGGCGCCGCAGACGCAACGAATGATTTCTTCCTCAGGCTCCTCCTCTTGCTTCTTCTTTCTGCCTCGTTTTTTGGGCGGTTCGATCGGTTGGTCGTCGAAGGCTTTGGTGTGTTGGCCCTTGGTCGCGCGTACCGAACGGCGCGGTTCCGGCTCTCCTGCGCGAACCATGTTGGTCAGATCTTGCTAAAGGATAATGCAGTTGTGTGTATATGGTTTCAGGGAAAGAAAGCAGCAGCACTTGGCTAGCTGCGGGGCAGTGCGACGGTGGTTGCGACACTTACCAGACATGCTTGGTTGCTTTGTTGGCGGGCGGGCGGGAAGATGTCAAACGTCTCCCTTTGGTGGGCAGGAGCGCGGGAACGTGTACCTTGGGGGAGGTATGGGTTCTAGATGTCGATACAGGAAGGTGATGTCTTCTCTCTCTTTCTCTCAGACATGCATTGGTTTTTTACGGCAGAGCAAAAAAAAAAAAAAGAGACTAAGATATGTGACCCATCCAGTACGCGCGCGACGCAGACTCGATGCGAAGAGTGCAGACTACGCGGGTTCCTCCCAAATTGTCCGTCCCAGCAATCCCCAGCACTAGTCGGAATGGAAGCGATCGCGCAACGTGGTTTGCGCCAGCGGGAACAGTGTCGAAAGAGATTGAAGCGGCGTTCGCGTGCCGCTTTTTGGTTGTGTGGGAGAGAGTAAAAGGTAGCTTGCGCAAGGTGGAGGTGATGCGAGTGGGCTGCGGTGCGGTGCTCTGCGATAAAACGGCGCGAGGTTGGAGGGAAAATGCCGAACCGCCTCCACTTGCTGTTATGTAAGCTTGGGAAACCGCTATCTTGGGCCTCGCGCTCGGTGAACGGCGCACGGTTGATGGGAGGCGGGGGATCTCATGTTGTGGCCTTGGTGCCTGGACTGTCGGTGAGTCTCAAGCAGGCAAGCAGAACGATGAGGTAAACATCGACGGAGCTAAGGCGCTTCCGGCAAAAGCTCGGGCCAACACCTTGCATCTTCCTTACCTCAGCCCCGGCTGCTGTCCTGCTCTCCTAGGCTGGCTGGAGCAGGCGCAACGAGCTAACGCGTGCATCGATTGCCTGGAGCTTCAACAAGCTGCACCCCAAAGTTACAGCCTTCCCTGCAATCGCCAAATAAACCATCCCGCCGCACCGCACACCTCTCTCTCCTGTCGGCTTTGAAACCCCGACATCACCACCGCAATCGACCCATCAGATCAAGCTAGTCGACGTTCGATTGCCCGCCCGTCATGTCTCGCAGATACGATTCCCGCGTAAGGCCCCTCCCCGCTCTTCCCTTGCTCTGCATCCCGCTCCCGCCTGGCAAGGTACCAAGCTCACACCCCATGCTAGACAACAATCTTCTCGCCTGAGGGCCGTCTCTACCAGGTTGAATATGCTCTTGAGGCTATCTCCCACGCTGGAACTGCGATCGGTATCCTTGCCAAAGACGGCATCGTCCTGGCCGCAGAGCGAAAGGTGACGTCGAAGCTGTTGGAGCAGGACACCTCGGCCGAGAAGCTGTACATCGTCAATGAGTAGGTGTCTATATTTTCTGCCAACCAGTGTACAATTCTGACATGGTTCCCTTCAGCAATATGCTTGCTGCTGTCGCAGGTATGACGGCCGACGCCAACATTCTCATCAACTACGCCCGCCAGGCTGCCCAAAGATATCTCCTCACCTACAACGAAGACATCCCATGCGAGCAACTCGTCCGACGACTGTGCGATCTGAAGCAGGGCTACACACAACACGGAGGTCTGAGACCCTTCGGTGTCTCCTTCATCTACGCCGGCTGGGATCCCCGCAGGCAGTTCCAGCTCTACCAGAGCAACCCTTCGGGCAACTACGGCGGTTGGAAGGCGACGGCTGTCGGTGCGAACAGAGCCAGCGCGGAGAGCTTGTTGAAGCAGGACTACAAGGAGGATTGCACTCTGAAGGAGGCTTGCGGCATGGCAGTCAAGGTCCTGAGTAAGACCATGGATTCAACGAAGCTGAGCGCAGAGAAGCGTACGTTGTCCAACAGACAGAACTGTTTTAGAATTGCGCTAACTGATTATCACAGTCGAGTTCGCCACGGTCGGCCAGACGAGCGACGGCAAGATCTACCACAGACTCTGGACCGCAGAGGAGATCAAGGAGCTCCTCAAGGAACACGACCTGGCGAAGGACGAGTCCACGGAGGACAAATAATGGCATGGATGAAATCAAAAACATAGATGGGGCGTGATGACTGCCCTCAACCCTGATGTACCAATAGAATTGATGCCCCAAATTTCCAAGCCCTTTGACCCCCAACCCCAGGCAGGCTGCTGCCAAGATGCAAATGCGAAGCCGTGGTATCCTAGACAGTAATGTGAAATGTATTGCGAAATGAGAAGAACAGGTAGAGAAATCAACGGTTGTAAATGTTGTGATACAAGGCAGGAACATGGAAGCACGAAGCAATGCGGCAACTAGTCTTACAGAGGTGAATGGATGTGTCGGTGGCTGAATCTGTTGCATTCAGACTCTATGAAGGACCCTATTCTCGGTGATTAGTGTCTCTGGCTACTTAGCTGGGTCATCTCATAGCCTACGTCGGTTCGCGAGTCCCCAGCTTCCTCTTCATCTCGTAGTCGATTCCAGCCAGTCTTCGGGTCTGACCCCGGATAAGGGTGAGGCTCGTGGCATTCCCTGGCGGTCAATTTGGGCCAATGTCGTCGGTAACTCCAGTACGCAACAAGATACCCTAACAGCGACCCTACGCAGACGTCGTACACATCGTGTCTATAGTCCTCGCAGCGACTGATGGCAATCAATGCGGCCCCAAGTAGTGGCAGGAGGCAAATAAGTGCTCTGCTAAGGTCACGGCCTCCACTGTTGTGTCGGAAAATGTGCAGCTGTCCGGCAAAGAAGAGGCTCAAGAAGCCAAGACCGGAGAAGGAGAAGGACGAGTGGCCAGAGGGAAAAGACCGCCATCCATCGTGGAGAAGGTGATGGCCCGTCTCGGTGCATACGTCGATAGTGACAAGGACGTCGGGCTTGGTGCCGGCGGCTGGTTTGCATCGGGCCAACAGGTCGGGTCGCGGACGACCGACTGCGTTTTTGATGAGATCTGTAATGAAACTGGTCATGATGATTGCGATGGCGAAGGACAGATATGTGACCTCATGTTTGTGAGGCGACGCTTTAGTCACAACGTTGTAAGCAACAAGGATTCCCAGTGGTACGAAGAGAGCATAAACGAAGTTCATATCTGGAGCGTATGTCAGCCTCATTTCACTGTTTTGGAAGCTGGTCAGCTCAACTCACAGACAGGCACACGCTCAACTTCCGCATGAGGGTATGAGATGTGTAGATCATTGATAAAGAACATTCGGTGGAAGGGTTCGATGAAAGCCAGCATCTACGGAGCCAGATCAATACTTCGAGTGTGAACAATATATGATGAATGAGAAACTCACCGTCATCCATCCTGCAAGGAGGATCACGAACCCCAGATAGTCTGGCGCATGGGTCCTCTACAGATAGATTTCTCGTCAGATCGCCTCACGGCCCCGTCACATGAGATGAACAAGAGCTACGTTACCTTCCAGAACCTGGAGAGCGCGGATGCAAACGCATTCCCACTCGAACTACCGTCTCGGCGACTGGGCGCCATTATGAGCAGTCACCGTCTACGAGCCGCACGAAAGGCTCTCTGGAACATGGGACAGCTTGTTGCTGCGGCGATTGGAGCTACGGGCGCTGCAGTATATGTTCTTGCCAAGCTGTCGACGTGGAGTATTGGCCAATGTCAAAAGCAAAAAGGGAGCGAGGAAGGGAAAATAGGTTCGAAAACAGGCGGCAAAGACTATCGGTTGTCACTTGATCAATGTGCAGATCCCCCGACCAATTGTCCCTAGTTCGAACTAGAGTACAGCTTTCAAGGGGTCGTACTTGGTGTATGTGGCGTTTTGATTGGGAGACTCGTGTTCACGAGCTGCTGCAGCGATTGCCGCAAGACGGCACTCTGGGGGAAGCTACTCCGTTATCTTCTTATCAAGTACCCGAAGTTTCTCCAGGCTGGTTTGACCCGTCGAAGCTGCTCACCTCCAAAAATCAACAATTCGTTTTCTTGCAATCTCGACATCACGATCGGCGGATATTACGATTGCGCCGACTTGCCCAGCATGCTGAGGTCGACCTACAAGCCATCCGCAAATACTGCGGCCCCTCCACCGCTTCTTCCTGGATGGACGGAGCACGACGCGCCAAATGGCCACAAATATTACTACAACGCCGAGACCAAGGAATCGACATACAAGAGACCGAGTGCGCCCGACGTCACTGCTGCCCGCGGGCCTGCGCCCGGGGCTGCCTCGACAAGCTTCTTTCAGTACCAAACCATTCCCCAGCTGTCCGACCCGAACGTTGCGAATGCATATCTGGCACAGTACAACGCGCAAAACCAACCGCCAGCGCAGCGAGGAGGCTTCGGCCATGGAGGCAGGGGAGGCAGAGACGGACGCCCACGTCCCGAGCCTATAGACAAGCCCAGGTCAAAAGCCCCGATACCCGGATGCGAACCTTGGATTCTCGTCGACACCAAATATGGGCGTCGCTTCGTCTACAACCCCGAGAAGAATGCCAGCTACTGGCGCATTCCAGACAAGCTGAAAGCCGGTATTTTGGAGCTCGACCAAGCCAGGATTCGCGCGAAGGCCGGCATCAAGAGTGCCCCGACAGAAGAAGAAGGGAAGGATAGCACGCCCACAGCTCAACCGAGGCCCCAGCAAGAGGCTCCAGTGGCTCCAACGTATGACGACAATGACGACAGCTCAGAGTACGAGGAGGTCGAGGTCACGGACGATGAGGCTGAGGGCGAAGATGGCGAGGACGGGCACACTTCCAAGCGTCAGCGCACAGAAGATGCAGCCGATGACGCTCCGGTGGAGTTCAGCGAAGCAGACATTGCATTCCAGCTCCAAGCGATGGGTGAAGCATACGGGCTCGACCCCGGAGAATACGACGACGGACATATGGACGAGTGGCCAGAAGGCGCGGAAGGGGTAGAGTTTTCACAGGATGACGCCGCCGCACTCTTTAGGGACCTGCTCGACGACTTCAACGTCAACCCATACAGCACCTGGGATAAGCTGATTGAGGACGGACAGATCATCGAGGATCCGAGATACACGTTGCTCAACACCATGAAAGCACGAAAGGAGACCTGGCAAGAATGGTCAAAGGACAAGATTAGAGAGCTGAAGGAACTTCGGGCCAAAGAAGAGAAGAAAGACCCCCGGATACCCTACATGACACTACTGCAGGAAAAAGCGTCGCCCAAACTCTTCTGGCAAGAGTTCAAGAGGAAATATCGGAAGGAACCAGCCATGACGGATCCCTACGTCAAGGACAAGGACCGTGAGAAGTGGTACCGGGAGCACATCAACCGTTTAAAGATGCCCCAAACAGCGCTCAAGTCTGATCTCGCCACGCTTCTGAAGTCACTCCCACTCTCTGCACTGAACACTAAGACGAGCCTATCACGCCTACCACCGCAGCTGCTGGTTGACATCAGATACATCTCACTGCCACCACAGGTGAGAGACCCTATGATTGAGGCGTACATCCAGACCCTGGGACCGCCGCCTGAGGGTGAGGCCAGCGAAGGGGAGGACGAGGCGACTCGCAAGGCTAGGGAGGCCAGAGAGCGGAGAGAGAAGGCGTTGCGGGAGCATGAGGATAAGGTTGCGGAGCAAAAAAGAAGACAACAGCGAAGCCTCGAGATGGGCCGAGCCAGGCTGCGGGAGGGAGAGCGCGAGATTGAGCAAGCGATGCAGGTCGGCAAGCGTGGACTGCAAAGCCAGCTGGCGAGCGCCCAGAAAAAGGATCAACCTGATGCATAAGTAGCTGTGTGGCTGGAGCAGAAAAAGAAAGAAAGCAGCCAGAACTATTCACGCAAACACCAGACGGCGTATTTTCAAAATCAACGTCAACGTTTCCTTCTCTTGTGATAGGGCCGCCCCGCCATAAGCGTGCCTTGGCACTAACAACGCAGTCGAGTCCGTCGAACGTCCCGCCTCACCGACTCCTGCAGGAACCGGGTTTCAAGCAAGAACACAAGACTGTTTTTCTCACATGTGTGTACCAACCAAGCCTTCCATTACATCAACTTTGACTCGAGCCCCATCAAACGTGTCATGCGAGCCAGTGCCCCCCAAGACACCGCAGACCACTTGTTCTTGCGAAATCCTTGTTGTGCCTAAGTATTGAAACCACCGTCCCACCATCTCAGACCTAGAAGCGCATCCCCGTGATGGCCGCGATGACTCTATTCGAAAGATTCGTTGAATGAAACTATCAGACTTCCTCACAGCCACAAATCCAACGGTGTTCCCTGCATCCCCACGTATGATGTCGGTTGAGCAGGAACACTGCTCTAACGAACAGTTCGGATTGAACGTCCTTATTGCTGTCTAAGTTTCCCTGTACAGCGCGCTAGATGACACCATCCAGCGCGTTCGTGTTCGTGCGTCAAAGATCGCCTGAAAATCGGCGGCCCGCCCATTGGCTCGTCGGCCACGTCGGTCACTTCGGTCTTGGAGCGCTGACCGTGCCGCACATCCCCAAGCGCACTCCGTCGACAGAGTGAGACCAGCGCAAATGTCATGTTATCATGTTATTTAGTGTCTTATATGACAGCCGCTGTCATTCCCTGGCCCGCGACCTCGCTCGCTCTCTAGCCTGAGCTTTCCTTCTGTCAGTTTTGGCAGGTTCATCGACGAGACCCCGAACCCTTAATTTCCAACGAGAAGAGACAGGACAGTGACACTATGGGTGCGACAACACTTACACTATTCGGCCTTGCGGCCTTCGGTACGACTTCTCATTCCCGCCATCACCTAGATGGTCTAAACTAACGAAATTTTAGCCTCGATAGTCATGGCGCAGCAGTTCCCGGGAAATTTCCCCGGCAATGGAAATGGTAACGGCAACGGGTTCGGCAATGGCAACGGCGGCAACGGATTCGGAGGCAATTTCAACGGCTTCGTCGATTTCAACATCCAAGAGGCAATGCACACGCGGAGGATCCATGGCATCCTCGGGACCATCGCATTCGTCATCGTCTTTCCCATCGGCTCCATCGCCATGAGAATCATCCCTGGTCGCTTCTCCTGGCTTCTTCATGCTCTGATCCAGATGGCTGGCTTTGTTCTGTACATAGCTGCCGCTGCGTTGGGTATCAAGTTAACCCAGGAGGTTAGGTTTGGCGGCACAAGTCTGGTGAGTTTTCCATCGCTTTGTATAACTTTTGCGACCTGCCTGTTGACAATTAGCAGTACGAAATTAGCACCATCAACTTCCACCCCATCATCGGCCTTGTCATCCTCGCCATTTTCTTCTTCCAGCCCATCTTCGGCTACATCCACCACGTGCAGTTCAAGAAGTATGGCGTCCGACAGATCTGGTCGCACATCCACCTCATCATTGGCCGCCTCCTCATTCCCCTGGGTATCATCAACGGCGGTCTGGGGCTCTACATCTCCAACTCGCCTAAGGAATTCAAAATCGCCTACGCCATCCTCGCTGCCGTTTTCGGAATTGCCTGGATTTTTGTTGCCGTAATCAGCGAGAGCCGTCGTGGTCGCCAGCCTGCGGTTGTGGTTGTGGAGGAGCACAAGCTCGCGAGGCGGTCTCGCGGACGCCAGAGTGGGAGCCGTGGATCTTCCGTGTCGGACCCGAAGCTTTGAGTCAAAGGCCAAGTCTTTGATATGATTGACGATGTTGAAAACGACTATTACAGATTTGCCTCGCGGATTCGAGACCATTACTCACTACTTTAAGTGGAGTTTCTTTCATAATCATGGTTCATAATCATGGTTGCATGAGGACAATGTTGGGTGGCTGGTAAAGAGCTCAGTGGCTGTTTCGGCTGTCGCAAGTTACATTTTGAGTTGTATAACAAACATTTTTTGGATGTAGTAGTACTACCGTGATGAAAGCTTTTATGACATTGGAACAAACATTTATTGGTCGTCCGAACCATGGTATCTCAAATGTGAAACGCACCTATGCCTTTGACTTTGAGATGGCAGTAGTCACAACTTGATGCCTCGATGGCAACGCTTGTTCCGATAGTATAATAAAATAGTTATGGATTCACTAACACGTAGCATCCATGTTAAGAAATCATAACGAGCAGTAAGCTCAGAACGAACCGTGCTATATACCGTTTCCAAGTACAACGTGAAGCTGGATTCTTTTAAAAAGCAAAGGAAAAGAAAACCCCCACCTCAAAAGGTATTTTTGAGTTATCTCAGTTTATTATTAAATTTCCTTTTCTTTCAATACCAATCTTTGATCTCGCGGTTTAGGTCTGGCTGCTTGTCTTACCTAACCGCTAGTTTGAAAATACTAAAACCTGTCTAGAAAGTCATTGCAGCCTTGCCACCTCACACCGCACGAATAGTCCACAGCTGAAGGGATGCGTTGGCTCAACCCTCTTTAATACATCGCGTTCGCATCTTCCCAACAACATTGGCTTCATTGAATCCGGCTTAGCGTCTTCTAGTATATGATAGAGAGACGAGTTTTCCGGTTGGCTGCTGAGCTGAACCAGTGAAGGCTGTTACGGTCAAAACGGCGGGAACTAAAGTTCGACCGCCATAACAGCTGATGCGGTCCCCGCGAAGTCCACATTTCTAGGGCAAACACCAGGACTGGGATGATGGAAGACATAGAGAGAAATTTTAGGACTTGTTGCTTTGCAGTGTCTCTTACAACCGTGTTGCAAACAATCGTGACCACTGTATAACTTGGCGGTTCCTGATTGCCACAGTCCAGGCCTGAACGAACGGAAACAGGCAGCCTAGAGAAGTCGAGACTGCGCCTTAAGAATCAAGGTTCGCTCTATTTCGGCGGTAAATGACCCACTACGAAGCTGTTGCAACAGAGATACCATATCTAAGATGTGTCTGAAGATGCACTAAGCCACGTATGATTTCAACTGCGTGTATAAAAGATTGAGGATGAGATTTCCAGGGACAAGATGAAATTCGGCGGGATCTTCTCGACAAGGTGGTCGCTTTGAGCCATCCCTGTTCTTCTTGACACCACAGTCGGTAATTTATCGTTTTAAGATTGATGAAAAGACTTGGCAGCCTTCTCGAATACTGTAGGTCGAGTTCGTTTTCCCCCAAATTACAGACTTTGAAAGGCTGGTTGTATTACTGCGAAGACGAGCATGGGGAGCGCTGCGTTGGGAAACGCTTCCATTCAAGCGAGTAAATTCCGATGGGACGATGCAGGGATGAGAAGATCTGAGCACTGGTTGATCCAAGACGATATGTTCCTTGGCTATTGGATGCTCCATTAGCATTGTCGAGCTACGCAAGCCGGTTTTCTTTTTGGCTCTGAGCTATCTGTGGGCCGGGGGCAGACCAGAATTTAAGGACATCTAACTCGAAATGAACATCAAGGACACCCTCCAGACGGCTGGGAGCTTGGCAGCGGTTCTTTTTTCGTAGATACTTGTCGAAAAGATAACCTCGTGCATCGACCTTGGTAGATCCTACGTCTGGGTCGAGTTTGCATCAATCGGGTCGATATAATCATAATGCCTGCTCGAATTGCCGCAGTGGACAAAACATACCAGTCAGCCGCTTTCACCACAGCTGCAGCATTCGAGAACCAACTTGGCCTGGGTCTTCCTGGATACGGTGGTCAGCCAAGGGTCCCCATGTTCTCGGCCTCGAGGCCACCTCGGCATCCCGAGGTTGAAGGGCGTGGTATCAAATTCAGTGGAGTGGCGGATTTAGTCTACTATGTTTTGTGGAAGAGATGTTGGATTTTCAGGAGCTTGTTCTATCCAACAGACACCTGTTCATCACCAAAAATCAAGTGGACTTTGGATGCCGTAAACAATCCGGATATGTGGTTTCCTGGGTATAGGGAACGGTCATTCTATCCATCAACAATCGGCTTCTATGTCGGCGAAGCACCCCAACTTAAAGATTACCGCAACTGGGCATGATATTATAACACGGCAGCTACCCCTCTGATCAGACATTTTGGATGATTTTGCAGGTGTAGGCAAGGTGTTGAGTAAAGTGTTGGGCACAGCACTGCCCTTTGATTTACCCGAAAATTATGCTGTTCAAACTCTGGTGTGGAGCTGCAGTAACACACTAGAGAGGAAAGGAGGTGGGCTACATAGCCTTAGTTGGAGCTGGGCATCGCCATTGAAGGCTATTGAGTACCACTGGCTCCATGGGCAGAGCCGGTCGTTGCACAACACTGAGCTTGTGGAAATAACTGGTCTTGCTGAGTTATACTTCCAAGATTCCGTCAAGAGTTCTGGAAGCTAGAAGTAGAGCAAAGATGAGAGGAGCACGAGTTGAGGGTCGCAAAGGTTGCAGGCCTCAATAGTTTGCCACCAATAGCACGCCAGCAAACGAGGAGACCCGCCGACTGGACATATGGTCTTATCTGGAAGACACGCTCTCACAATCCATGGACCATGATGGACCATCTAGCCCTTAGAAAGGAAGCATAGAGTATTGCCGTGTTCTTTCCGGGGTCCATTGACTTCAATACGCCCGTCGCGTCTATCGGGTTTAAGATTGTTAAGATCGAGGACGGTCAAAGACCGAAGGAAAAATTCGTCCATCTGGTGATCTGCAACGAAAATGGGGGGGGGGAGTGGGCGTCTTGGACCGGGCAAGTCGTGAATGGATACTGGCGCGAGAGGGTACTGACGGAAACCGAGGGCTTTTCGAATTCATCGTGATCTGCGGAGCCCTAGAGGCCAACTGCATAAGGAAAAGGCTCGCGTTCGGGTGTGAGTGGGACAAGACAGGGCGTCTGTTGTCATGGTGAAAAGGCTACCATGCCAGCTATTCGTTGCGAGACCGGTCGAGATAGGATCAATCTAGACTTACCGGTGGAAGGACTGTAACCCAAGAGTGGGAGGATGTTGTTCTCGGTCGAAAGAAAAAGACAAGTCCTGAGGTTCCGTCGCCACTTTTCGATGGCAAGCGAGGGGCAACTGTCGTGTCTGTCAACACCGTACGGGATAGGTAGTTGGAGAATCAAGGGTCGGATCAGGGATGTGGGAGCGACCCCTACATCCAAGTGGGTTAAGGAGGTTGAGGTTACACAAGAACAACTAGCAATAACGGCATTGCTAACACGTGATACCCTCGCCAATGCTAACGAGGGCAGTATTACCACAAGCGCAACATTGCCCGGCGGTACGGCACTTTCTCTTCGGAATCGACCCCAATTAAGCGTGGATCGTCGATGGGGTTGGCTCATCACGACACGTGTGCCGCTTAGTCAATAAAGTTGTTGAACAATAGATAGTGTCATTTCGCTCAAAAAAAGAAGGCCATAGCCCCCTTTTACAACCATGAAAGTCAAAAGGAATTTTCAAGCCCAGAGCACCACAACCCTAACGCATGAAATTAGATTGTGTCTTTCCTTCGCTGCGCCGAAGTTGAGGCACTCGACTCTTTGACACTCCTTTCCTTGGTCTCGGCAAATGGATTCAGCCGTTCCAGCGCAACATGTTTGGGGGGGCGGTCATCGCGGCAATGTTCGAATTTGATCTGGAGGACTTGAAAGTTCCATAGTCCTATTACTCCGCACCGTCCTTGTTCGGATTTGGGTTAGTTCATACAACGAGGGGCTCAGGAGACCAGAAGGGAGGAGCTTCGACTCTCAGACCCTTCTTCAAACACGCAAGCTATCTTATGTTGTTACCATGTCAGAACCATCGTGAATCGTGCTTCTCGGACAACGGCACAGCTTGGTGACGGCGTCTTGCTCGGAAGCTATACGAACCTCGCGCAGGGGGTCGGGCACCGGAAGATAAGTGAGACATGCGCCGAAGGAACGCCAATCGACGACCTAGAATCTGGAACAGAAACAGGGCTGATAGTGTCTGCTCCGCGTGCCACACCAGCTCCACGACCCAGGCCCCCGGCGCCGCCATCGATCTTACGCTGCACGGTACTTGTGGTTTCGCGATCTGGATTGGACGAGCTCCGACGAGCAGGCCCAAATGACGCCCGGCATACATACATATGATACCATCTGACTCCTCGTGCCCATGCAGTCAGTCGTGATCCGTGGTATCTCCCCACTCTTCCATCTGGTTCATTAATGAGGCGATGATAGCAGAGATCAGAATGGCTCAGCGGCTTGAAGCGGAAGTCTTGATTTCTACAGTCTCAATGTTTATCAAGGCCGCAGCCCCTCTTCTATACCCGGCATTAGCCACCGAGTTTTCCATCATTGACAAGGCCCCCTCGTTGTTCATTGTGGTACCCTGATCCATGAATGTCAAACGTCACGACGACTCTCTCTCCCCACCCTCTACTATTTTTCTAGGTTCCCCTCGGTCCCTGTCTCACTAGCCCTAGAACGGTCTGGCCCAGCTTGCTGAAAGACTAAAATGTTAACGGTGTGAGGAAGCTAATGCCCCCCTTCGGAGCTGGGGTTTCTAGTGGCTACGCCAACTGCCGCTGGGAGACAAAACGGGTAAAGGCGCGCTGTTCGAATACTGTCACATCAACGTTCATCGCGCGCGCAGTACCTGGGTCATGAGGTGTGTGGGACGACAAGTACTGTGCAGGCCGAATGAGGGTTGGGCCCGTTGGAAAGCGTGCGTCAACTGACGTGATGCTTGAGGGAGAACGAACGGGGTCTTTGATTTCATCCGGCCGGCAGGCAAGATTGTCGGATCGAACGCTCCATACTATTCACCGAAATCAATTCTCTCCACTCACGGCCGGTAGAAAAATACAACTGCGTCAATGTGGACTATTGTTTCTGCACTGCTTACTCGTTTTCTCACCCCCATCGTATCCTTCACCATTCACGGCTCGGTATTTACTTGTCGACCCCGGGCCGTCAGCCTCTTAGGGCTGAGCGAGAGGTGAATGACTGCAGCTGCTGCCTTGTGCCGACAAGTCAAGTATGACACCGAGTAACCGCATGACAAACTGTGACAGCCAGATGAGGCTCAAAATCCACCAACCCGGTTCGAGAGTCCTGTCCAGGCAGTTGTCGCCAAATCCGTCAATGATTATCCACAGTATAAGAATGCTGAATAAAGAGAGGGGATGTCAATGGTTTCTAGACAGCTACTTGTTAGACTGAGACAACTAGGAAATACTGTAGTTCACCAACAGACAGGTACGGAATCAGGAAAAAAAAAAGGAAAAGGCAAAATGAGTCGCCCGTCACATAGCACCGACACTGGAGCGACGGCCTCCATGTCCTCGGTCTCGGTGGTAAAACCCCTCCGAGACCAGGAAGGAGACGACACTCAGACAATCGAAATCGACGAGACAGCGATCAACCGACGGGTTAACAGGAAGATGGATATTGCGCTTCTTCCGCTTCTTTCTCTGCTTTACCTGTTCAATGGTTTGGATAGGGGCAACGTGGGAAATGCCCAAACCCAAGGTACGTTACACAAAGATCGGTACCAAGCCTCAAAGCCTTGGGTAATTGCAAAACTTACACCGGGAATCAGGATTCACCAAGGACATTGGCGCAGTACCGGACGATTTGAACCTTGCCGTTTCTCTGTTCTTCATCACATTTGTTCTATTCCAGCCGCCATCTGCGGCTGTGGGAAGGTGGCTTGGAGCCAAACATTGGATTCCGATCATGATGGTAAGGGACACTACCCCAAATAACGCCACGCAAACATTTGGAAACTGGGCTAATTTCCGTACAGCTAGGCTGGGGCTTTGTTACCTTGAGCCAGGCATTTATTAAGGGCCGAGGCAAGTCACTCCCTGCCTGATGTGCTGATGAGTTTCTAACCGTTGTTGTCGACCAGGTTCCCTCATTGCAACCCGCCTTCTGATCGGCGCCTTCGAAGCTGGTTTCTACCCAACCGCCGTCGCATACCTCTCGTTTTTCTATTGTAGATACGATCTAGCCGTAAGAGTCGGGCTCTTTTACGGACAATATGCGGTCGCGGGCGCCTTTTCAGGGGCAATTTGTGTGTTGACCAACAAATGCCATGATCATACCTCTGGGCGCTTTTGCTAATGCAACAATAGCATACGGTGTTTTCCATTTGAACAATGGCCAATTGAAAAATTGGCAGTACCTCTTCATCATCGAAGGCGCGTTGACGGTGTTCTTCGGTCTCCTCGCATGGATCCTTCTTCCTGCCGGCCCTGGCTCCGCCTGGTTTTTGACTGCAGAAGAGCGCCGGTTTGCTGCAGATAGGATGAAGGCGGACAATGCTCTCTTTGTCAAGCACTCCTACGACTCTGACGGTGTAGAGAAGGATCGACTGACGAAGCGTGATTTCGTCGAAACCGCCAAGGACTGGAAGTTCTGGTACGTTTTGGCGTTCAACATTTGCGCCAGCGTGCCAGGACAGGCATTTTCTGTGTTTCTGCCGCTTGTTGTGCAGGGACTAGGCTATTCATCCATTGAGGCCAACTTGGTTAGTAACGGCGACCTTGTATACCTATAACTTGCAGAACTGACAGGTTTGTGCCCTAGATGTCTGTTCCGCCTTATGTTTGCGGAGCGATCGGACTGTATTGTTTCACCTTGAGTTCTGACTACCAGTATGTTTCTAATGATATCGTCGGAGCGAGATTCCTAGATTAACCTCTGCGTAGCAAGGAGCGTGGTTACCACATCATCGGAGGAATCATAATTGCTCTCATTGGCTTGATCGCAACTGTCACGGTCGAATCAAGCGGTGGAAAGTACGCAGCGCTTTGCGTGCTTCTCCTTGGAAGCTATGTTGCTGCACCTCTGACGGTTGCATGGCTCAGCGGAAACACGCCAGGTACGTGGCCAATCCTCTAGACACGAAAACGTTGTACGAGAAATGTTGCTAACTGTTACTTTCATCAGAGCCTGGGAAACGATCCCTCGTCCTCGGCCTCAACGGCTTCGGTAACATCGCTGGCGTTATCGGTGCGCAGCTATACCGTGCAAAGTACAAGCCTGACTACAAGATTCCTTTCTACATAACACTAGGTTTCGTAGCAGTGGCGCTTGTGGGATATCTCTCGTACAGATTCACACTCGCTGCGGTTAACCGGAGGAAGTTGGAGATAATGCGGCACAAGTCGCAGGAGGACATTGAAAAGGAGCGCGTGGACGGAACACGTTATGCCGACAAGAAGTGGACATTCATCTATGGTCTTTGATGGTAATCTGGAGAACAACAAAAGTTGTAATTAGACATCGGAGAAGAAGACATCCGCCTCACGGCGTATCTGGGCTGCAAGTTCTGAGATATCCTCTGCGCTCTTCTGGCCATCCTCAAACATATACCCGTCGATCATACTTGTAGGCACCCATTCGAAATAGACGTTCCTGACGCTTGCCTTTATCCCCTTTTCGTCAGAGTTCGGCTCATGTGCACTGTCCAGGACAGTCAAGGCGGCTTCCTGCATGGTATAGTTATGCTTCCAGGACGCCACTACCTCCTCAATGTCATTCTCTTCAAACCCGGGCGGCTCGTAGGGCAGAATCTTCTCGTTCTCGGCCAGAACCAAGACCTTGGCGTGAGGAGAACAGTGCTTAGCCGAAAGGACTGCTGGTAGCGAGCCTGTTTTGTTGCTCGTCGATCCATCCTCTCCGATGATGTCGGCGCCAACGAGGACCAGATCCACGTCCTTGCTCGCGATCGCCGCGGCGGCGTCAGTATATATCGCGACCTCTACCTTCTTCTCTCTGTGTCCCGACTCGCGCAGGCGGTTGACCAAGCGAGATGCCATTGATACGCCCTCGAAAAGCGGACGTGATTCGAGTATCCGGATGTCAAACTCCGAGTTGAAGCCTGCGATTGCTCTCTGGAGACACTCAAGAATGGTTGAACTCGACGACAAGGTGAGAATCCGGACCGGTCGACCGGAACCATGCTCCTCCCTGAGGAACGCCTGGAACGACTTCCAGATGCCGTCGACCGAAGAATCTCTCAATGACGCAAAGTCGCGTAGCTTCTGTGTGACTCTGCCTAGAAACTCTGGCGACACCTTGTTGTCCTTCACTTGCTGCACTTCCTTCTCGATGATGGCCAGGGATCGAACAATGTTGTTCAGGATCGCGGCTCCCATGCTCTCCCGCCCGTTCTTCCACAGGTGCCATGCCGCAAGACGGGTGTTCCGCCACCACTTATCCAGAGAGCCATCCTGTTCGACACTAGACTTCTCGGAGATCACCGACAGGAGCACATCAAGCGCCTTCCCCGCCAGCTGCCGTGCCCCGCTCTCGTGATCCTTCTGCAGGGCAAGCAACCCCTCGCTCAGGACCTTTCCCCTGCTCTCGCCAAGCTCGATCTCGAACCAGATGCGCCTTAGACTCTCGGCCAGCCGCGGCACGCCACCAAACTCGTCAACATCGCGGACCTCGTGGGGGTCGAACCACTGGAATCCCTGGTGCTCCCAGTCAATCTGGATGCGCGACTCGTCCTCATGGGACTTGAGGCGGAACGCGAAGGGGTAGATAGTCCATTCGCGGCCAATCTTGTCGTCAGCAAAACGGTAATCTTTGCCTTGGCGGAGCAGTGTCAGCGTCGCCGGCGTCAGCGTCGTCTCCTCGCGGATCTCTCGCCAGGCAGCATCGAGGGGTGACGGGTCGTCTTTCTCTATGCTGCCTGATACTGGCGCAAGGCGATCTCTGCAACCCGGATGTCAGTCGCCCGTAGAGCCTCAAGCGAATCACTTGACGTTGGGTCGTCTGGAGAAAAGGATCTAAGCTCACGGGTAAGTCCGCACATTGCCGCTCCGTCGGAACAGGGCAACTTGGGGCCCCGGTTGGGAGGGAACTTGAAGATGAAGGACGAAACGACTGCGCGACGAGTCATTGTTTTTTCAGATGAATCCATCACATAGGAACCACGATTCTAGTATTGAGTATCTTTGACAGGAACAGCCCCTCCAGGTTGATGCCTGATTGTCGCGCGTTGCACTTGGAGGTGGATTTGGCCGAGAATGAGGTCATCATGAGTAGCAAGTGAGGGTGGATGGCAGGGAAAGCTGGCAGCTGTGGGCGGCTGGCGGCGTCGTCGGAAACGGCAATGCCACCAAAGCTGCTCACCCTTCGTCTCCCGGCACATGAAATGAGTGATGGACACGGGATGCGCGTGTGAAGCTGGCAGCAACAAATATATTTTCAAGGGCGTCTCAATTCAAAATGCGTTTGTAAACAGGCGGGTGTGATGCGAAACCCCAAGGATCGGACGGCACTGCGCCCCGCTCACTGAGCGCTTCCAAGATCTCACGATGGGGGGCATGAAACAAAAGCCTCAGTTAAGCCACCTATTAGCTAAATGCGCTGTCTTTGATGACTAACCTGCACTGGCTTACATCACAACTCATCTAGCTTTCCATGGCGAAGATCAGAAGTTGGAGACACAGCGCCCAATTAGACATACGTGGTCGCCGTCTTCTTCAAAGAGATCGCGCTGGAGCGGGCAGCCGTGCGCGGTTAACGAGACAAGCAGGACGCAATCGTGGTGGGCTGGAGGGCATTGCGATGGTTGTCAAGGCGAAACTAATGTCAAATACCGAGTGGCCAGGCGCTGACACCGATCGATATGCCATTGCAACAAGCCACAACCAGGATATGTCTACCAACTTTTGATCGCTTGTCTTCGGTTCGATGAAGACACTAAAGGATGTCACCATCGTCGACAAGCTGTTTGAGGCAGGCCCCATCACCCGTAGAAGACCAGCTTGACTGCAGGGGGCGGTGTTCAGAGACAGAATAAGGACTTTCGCCAACACAACCCATGGACTGTCCAGATTGAAGCGATGTCCTCTCAAATGTCGCGCTTGGTTTCGTTCAACGGCTTAGACAGTACGATATCCCAGTGGGATGGAGCGATTGCGGCAGCACGACGAACTAGCAATACTAGTGAGAGGAGCTGGTCGATACCGAGCAGCCAGTAAACTAGAAATCATGTCTTGAATTGCGATACCTGACGCGAGCGACATATCGTAGAAGGGTCCTCCTCTTTCTTGGTGGTTTCTGTTGCCGCGGGTTTCGGTCCACTTGAGTCGGCACCGCGACGACTAGGCGGCTAGAGGCTGTAGACATCAGGCGGGTCTCCGTTCCGATCAACGTCTTATCCTGTTGAATGCCAGTTTCGACAGCGTCGGGGTCATACTTCGAGACCTAAGCCACTTGACAACACTGGCCAAAGCCGTAGCAGATGAACATACTACAGTGGACCCTGATGTCTCCCGTTTCAGAACAAGCGAGAAGTGAGGAGACCGAGCTGCTGGCGTTATTTTTTTTTTGGTTTTTTTTGGTTTTTTTTGCAGCCTCTCGAGACAGTAGTAGACACACTGGGGCATCCCCCATGTAAGGATTTGCTCCGGAGTGTGAAGTTGGTCGATAGGAAGCACATGGCCGGGCCAATATCATTTAACCGACTTCGACCAACAGCACCAACAGCACCACCAAGGCCAACAATCAATATCAGTGGGTCGCCAAGATGAGGGGTTGATCTAAAAATGCAGCTGTCTAACAGTCAATAAAAACTCGATCTCTTCAGCGCAATATCTCCCCATCTCCGAGGAACCGCCCGGCAAAGATCCAATTCCTGCTCTCCAGTCCACATCCCACATCCCGCATCATGTCTGAAACTACCACAAGCCCAACGACAAACCCTCCTGTGCCGTCTCCGAACACGGTCGACACTGCAGTTGCTCCCAACGGAGGCTCGGCGGTCGCCCCGGCTACAATCGAAGTTGACGATGAGGACCTAACCGACGACGCCTCTGCGATGGACGACAGAATCTCTTCTTATTCGGCTTCCTTAACCTCTAGTGTTATTGACTACCCGGAGGAGTACGGTCGCCGATACCATGCCTATCGAGCCGGTTCGTACCAGTTTCCCAACGATGAGAGAGAAATGGACAGGCTCGACCTCAACCACTCTATGATCGTACGAACCATCGGCAAGCTCTTTCTAGCCCCCATCACGCAAGATAAGACCCACCGGATCCTAGACGTCGGCACTGGTACAGGCGTTTGGGCAATCGAAGTGGGCGACGAGCTTCCGAGCGCAGAGATTGTCGGGATAGACCTAAGCGCTATTCAGCCGAATTTCGTTCCGCCAAACGTCAAATTTGAGATTGACGACGCTGAAAGTTCATGGGTCGGGAATGCCAAATACGACTTTATCTTTGCTAGATACCTCGCCTGCTCTATCGCTGACTGGCCGAAGCTTATGCGTAACATCTATACAAACTTGAACAATGAAGGCTGGGCAGAGTTTCAGGATTATAGTCTCCTATTCGATACGGACGATGGGACCTTGACGGATGACCATGAGACAATGAAGTGGGACAAACTTGCAAACGAGATTTCTGACAAGATTGGTCGTGAGTTTAGTCCAGGACCCAAGTTGTACAACTGGGTCAAGGAGGCCGGCTTCCAAAACATCGTCCACAAGCACTACAAGATCCCAATCGGGCCCTGGGCCAAGGACCCTCACTACAAGGATCTCGGGATGCTGAATTTGATGCAACTGCTGGATGGGCTCGAGGCTTTTACTCTGAAGCCGTTCTGTGGGGTGCTGGGGTGGACGACCGAGGAGGCCCAGGTGCTACTCGCCAATGTGCGCAAAGAGATGAAGTCTGGAACGTTCCACGCTCACCTCAATTACCACGTCGTCTATGGCCAGAAGCTGGAGATTGATGAGGAGGACTAGAACGAGGAGTGACTTCTTCTGTTAGCTTCAGTAATTGCTGGTTGCACATGCACCTTTTCAACCCCGATGTATCATATGGCCAGCCTTCTGACCCAAACTCATCACTCTTGCGTGCGCAAACGATTCGCCTCAAGCTTCGCTATCAAGCAGGTCTCCATTTGCTTAGTCCGGTCGCAGACCAGGAAACCCTTCACAGCTGGCCCAACTTGGCAAGTCCGCCAATTCAGAGGGCGGAATCAAGACCCTCGACGCAATCGACTGCAACGCGGAGCATCTCCGCGGCAGCCCTTTCGAAACGTGGGTGCCCTGACAGAAACCGGCCAGGGTCCATGTGCAGCGCTAACCGCATAGCTGGCCGACGTTACGAGCAGGCTCTACGACGCAGACCGAGCTCGAGGGCAGAGTGCAACGGGGCCATGTCCGACAGAGAAGACGAGATGGCGGTCGCGGAGCTTCGCAGGCCCCGGGGATCAGAGATGGGCCCCCGAGAAGGCGATGGCGCGAAGCAAAGGTGGATGCCGTCGTGCCGGTGTCGGATTCCCTCGCGGTGGCGATCGCAGGGGCTGCAGGATCGTCGTTCGCGATTGTGACGCCGAGGAGCCTGCTAACCAGAGGGCAACCCTTCAGCTGCTTCGTGACGGCGCAGAGCGGCAGGGAGGGGGACCTGCTCTATCAATTCGTGGGCGCATTCCGGACGACGGACGCTTGCGGCGCCTGGGAAACCATTGTTGGACCTGTGGGTAAGGCAGGAAGAGACCTGGCAAAGGTTAAAGCTGAGTCTAGCGATGGTGCAGGTGAACTTGTCTCGGGGCCAAGAAGGAACGGAATGTCATTGTAGTTGGTATGAGAGGTGACGATAAGAGGCGCGGGAAGCCCAAAACGGACTCGGGATGCAGGGATGAGTGCACCACGAGCCGTTCCGCAGCGGACGTGGAATGAGTCGAAGAACGAACCGTGTCTCAATTCTTATATGCACCTTGCTTTTTTCATCTCGCCAGACGCACGAGACGCAGCCGAGTTGGGCAGTTCTAGCGACTGATTCCGCGGCAAGGCTGACGAGACTTTGGGATTATCATATGGAGTTTGGGCCGGTCGAACTCGGGGCGGGAGAGCATTAGCAAAGCATGCGACTGACAGGTCGGATTGGTGCTCTGACCGCACCCGAAGCGAGGGACCCCGTCCGCAAGCCTCCGTGCGAGGGATGTGGTTTGGTGGGGGATGCGTGTGAGATGTGAGATAACATAAAATGATGTGTGACGGTGTTACGAAATCAGCACGCCAAACATTCAAGAAAGAGAGAGCGAGAGTTTGAGGGTGAGAGAGTGAGACTATACCCGGACTCTCCAATAAGCCGGCGAGGTGCCATGGATGGTCTGCATCCAAAGTCGGACTGGACTGGACAGCACTGTTGGCCGAGAGCGACCCATAGGCACGCGGCCTCCCGCGTGGGACGAGAAATGAAGCGAGGAACCCAAGGGCAACGGCGTAGTACCATAGTAAGACGGGACGTTAGTGGCGTTCTTCTATGCCGTTTCTGGGGGGGCCTCCGTTCCACTTCCCTGGGGGCCGGGAATGTCGTGGGGCTCGGGGTACCGTACTCTGTACTCTGGACGACGTGAATGGTTCGGCTGGGCTCGGCGAGAAGGAGTTGGAGTCCCCTTTTTTTGCCGTGCATGGTGTTTGCATCTGTACGTGCGTACGTAGCTGACATTGCTATTCCGCACTTCCTGTTGGAAGCAGACAAGGCACGGGCGAGCAGGGTCTCTGGAGTGAGCTTATGTACACTAGTGTGTAGAGATAGGCGTCCGGGTACGTTGCCTTGGCCATTGGCTGCGCGGGTTGGGCATACCTACACAGACAGAGTCGTCGGGGGAGGAGGAGGAGGAGGAGGAGGAGGAGGAGGAGCCAAGGGAATCAATGATCGGCGGCCCCCGAACCGGCGTTTGGAGGGGGGCCAAAACATGGTTGACCGGGGTTTGATATTGCAATAGCACGTAGCAGGAGGAGCAGCGCCCTGGATGTGCCTGGCTGCATATTTCAGCGTCTGTGTGTGATTCGATTTGTTTGATTCAACCCTGGAGGCTTGCAGCGAGCGATGCCTCTGGCATCTTTCTGACAGACGGAGCTTGTCCCGCTCCCTGCCTCTTACCGAATCTTAGGGGTACTTTCTCATCCCCCACTGGGACTGGACAGGGAGAGAGCTTCTTGTTAAGGCGAAGGCGCGTCGGCACACGCGAATCGCTAACGCGGAGCCACTTCCGGCTTGCCCCCCCCCCCCTCTCTCCTCCAAAGCACACCCCTCCCATCCCGCCTTAGGCACGGGGAGGACGGTTCTTTCTCCCTTCCCGGACCCTTTCTTCGCGACATGAAAGTGTTTTTTTTTTCTTCCAAATATCTCCATTCTCCACGCCTTTTCCCATGCCGACACGTTGTCCCCCGGGCGCCTTCTCCAAGCGAACAAATCCGACGTTCCACACATCGCCATCTTCTCTCAGGTCCGCTGCTGGCGCACGTTATACGAAACTCGGGGAAGACGCCGACTCTTGCATCAAGCATCAACAACACTAGCTTGGCCCAAGCCCCCCCAGGTCTCACCGAGCCACTCACACGCACACCGTTATAGATTCGGCATCCCGCCTCCCACCCCGATCCCCAAAACGGACACACGGCTGCCTAGCTGCCGACAACCGGGGGTACCAGCAAACCAACACCACCACCACGACTGCCCGCCGACGACGAGACAGTATAGCGCGCGAGTGAGAAAGAGAGGGAAGGCCTGCGAGCGCGCCCTTTTTTAATTTTAGTCCGTCCGGGAACCAAAACCGCCAGAGTATTCACACGTCCGTCCTCATCCTCAACTCCGTGCACGAGGGCCCGGCGAAGCGGTGACATGCGGTCTCACTATCCCGCAGCACCAGGATGCAGCAGCAGCAGCCCGACCAGACGGAAAATCCCAACCGTGGACCACGTTTGCCTGTCAACCCGCGACGACACAAGGTAGCGCCCGACCAGAGAAAGCGCGTCGCCACAGCGTGAGTTACTTTAGCCTCCCCTTTGCTGTCCTACCACACTTGCATGACGCCCCGCGAGGCCTTCCTCGACAACGGCATGCGTCGTCTCATTGGTTTCGTTTCCACCTTGCACTTTTCTTCTTTTTTCGTAAGGAGAAGACTCATGGCGTGCCACCTTCGTTGCGCTTCGAGCCTCGTTTACGAACCGTTTCTGTAGATGCAACAGCTGCAACATCCGTCGAATCAAGTGTTCTGGCGAGAGACCCTGCCGCCAGTGCCGCAGCTCCTCACGAGACTGCCAGTACCCCACCATCATCGAGAAGGTCTCCATCTCCCGCAATGAGCTGGACGACTTGCGGAGGAGGCTCGAGGCCGTCGAGCGCGCCCTGCAGGCCGCCGTGCCCGACGACGCGGCGAGGCGGCAGCTGCTGCAGCATGATGCCGACGCCCGCGGCTCCCGCGCCGGCTCCAGCTCGTCCTTCACCCCACCGCAGCAGCCCCAACAGCAACAGCCGCTGCTTCGCAAGGACGATTCCAACGAAACCGCCTTCAACGACAGCGAGGCCGACACGACCGAGGGCCGTCAACTGGAGGACCAGGACGGGAGGGCCCGGTTCCTCGGCGAGACGTCTGGCGCCACGTTCCTTGACCACCTCAAGGAGTTCATGACGACCGTCTCACCCCTGGCCTTCAACAAGCCGTGGCTGTCGCCCACGCCCAACAACGGCTCGGCCTTCCTCACCTCCCTCGGGCGCTACCAGACGCACGATTCGCGCCCCATTGAGGCCGAGTCGAACGCGGACCCTCTTCTCCTTCCGTCACGGGCCGAGATGTCGGCCATGCTCTCCGACCTCCGATACTTTATCCAAGACGGCAGCGGCAGTTTCCCGTGCGGCGGCATCTACTGGTGGGGCGATCTCGGCTCCGTGCCCGTCGACCCAAAACCCGTCTCGTTCCCGCCCGACACGCCTCCCCAGGCCATCTGCAACAGGTACCGCCACCTGGCCTTTTACCACACGGCCTTCGCCGTCGCGTGCCAGGCCAATACGACGGCGGCCTCGATGCCCGTGCCGAGGGACCTGAGCCAGAGCTACTTCTCCCGCGCCCGCATGCTCCTCGGCAACCCCCTCGACATCACCCAGTACACCATCAGCGACGTCGCCGTGCTCGCCCTCATGGGCTTCTACCTCATTGAGATGAACCGCCGCGACGCCGCCTACATGTATGTCAGCAACGCCATGCACATCTCCATCATGCACGGCGCCCACCGCGGCTGGGTCGACGAGCGAGGCAAGCGCGTCTTCTGGACTCTGTACATTCTCGACCGCTGGCTGAGCTGCCTCATGGGCCGCCCGCCCACCATCATGGACGATGCGATCCGGCTACCCTTGCCGTTCGATGCTCCGTAAGTCCACCCTCCCCCTCTTTCCTTTGTCCGCCCTCATCGATGGAGGCACCTCCGACGACCGGAAGCGAGACCGAGAGCCAACGAACGCGCTCATCTGATGTTGACGGCTCAACCCCCCACGCAGTACATTGCCCCCTGCAGCCGGCCTCCGAGCCCACGTCCAGCTGGCCCGCATTTCGGGCCACATTGTCTGCAACACGTATAGAGTCGCCCCATGGGACCACCGTCCCGGAGGAGCGGCGCGGCATGTCGACCGGGCGCTGCAGCTGCTCGAGAACTGGCACTCCTCGCTACCTCCTACCCTGCAGATGACTACCTCACATCCAAGCAACGATCCCGCATGTTGCCTCCTGCACATGGCCTATAACCAGGTAAGCTTGTTTCTTCCCTGTAACTCCCTCCCCCTCCCCCCTCTTGTCCGCGCCTTTCCCTGTTCCTTGGAACACAGACCGGGCCTTATACGTCCCCTCCTCCCCCCCTTTCCATCTCTCGATACGCCCCTCCCCCCTCTCCCGACCCAGAAGCCCAAAAGAGAACAACCCCCCATGCTCACCAAAGATCCCTGGCATCTGCAGCTCGTCATCCTCGTCGTCCGCCCCATCTTCTTCGCCGCCGTGAAGAAGGCCTTCGCCGAGCGCTACATCCCGTCAGACCGCCGCTGGGACATTGAGCACCACGCAGGTCGTATAAGCGCCTGCTCCGAGGCCGCCCACCGTAACCTGTACTTTGCGCGCTGGCTGCTGAGTCTGAACGGGGGCGCCCGCAAGCTACTGCAGGCGGGGCTGCACTACGTCTTCAACGCCGCCATCGTGCTCATGCTCGAGGACCTGCTCGTGCCGAACCGCCACTCGTCGTCCGCGCACTCGGACGATGTCAACTTCGCCATTGGCGTGTTCGAGGAGGAGGCCAAGACGGGGAGCAACTACGGCCACGACTGTGCCACGGTCCTCCAGGATCTCAAGTCTCTGGTCCAGCGCCTCCGCCTGGATGGGCAGGGCGGCCCTTCGACGCCGGGCCTCGCATCGGACGACGTGGCGGTCGGCAGCAACAGCAACACGCCCACAACGACCGTCTCACAACAGCCCCAGCAGCCGACGTTCCCGCCGCCATCGAGCCAGTTCTATCCCATGGACGAGAGCGGTCCGCTGTATCAAGAGCTCATGACGTGGATGGACAACAATGACACGCAACTGTATAGTAATCACTATTCCATATAAACACGAATCAAAAAATGAGGAAACCATTTTTCAACTTCAAGCTGTGAGCATGAAGATTGATGAATCTAATAAAAAAAAAAAAAGGGGGGGGGGGGGGGGGGGGGGGGGGGGGGAAGGCTCCATGAACCAAGAAACATTTTCCATAAAAACCAAGAGGGTAGGTAAACTCCATGCCATGTCCTTTTCAACCCAACTCTCGAAAGAAGCTCGAAAATTACCCACGCACATACAAAGAGATATTCGTCAGCGGCTCGTCCAAAAATTCCCATGACTAAAAATAACCCATGAAGTGTCCCCCATCTCTATCACGCGCCCAACGCAGCCCGTCAGGTTGAGGCTCTTCTCTCTAATAAGGAACGAAAAAAGCATCATGAACAAAAGCAGCGACGAAACGTTAGATTCTAATTGGAAACGGTCTTGGTCCTCGGGGTCGAGGGAAAGATTGAGTCGATGACCTCGGCCGATCTCACGGCAAGAATAGACAAAAGGGTATCACTCAGCTATTTCAAAGCCGTCAGTCAGAATGTCTAGGAAAAAAAAAAGTGGGTGGTGAGTACTCACTCCGTGGGTGGCTTCGCAGCATCCCTGCAGGTAGACACCAGCCCCGGGCGCCACAGCACCAGGGGCGTAGCGCACGCGGTAATCGCGGCCGACCTCGAGCTTCCTCGATCCTGAAGTCGCATCGGGGCCGCAAATTTCCCAGCCGTCGACCAGTTCGCGGTCGCCGGCGTTGCCGGCCGGCGGCACCTCGGGCAGCAGGCTCCAGCTGTCGCGGAGCATGTCGATGTGGGCGTTGCGCTGGTAGCCGGTGGCGGCGACGATGAGGTCGACGTCGAGGACCTCGTCGCCGGGCAGCTGGCTGACGAAACCGTCCTCGAGGCTGTCGCAGGCGTTCTCGAGGTGGCGGACGTGTATCTGGAGGCGCTCCGTCTCCTTGCTCTCGGTGACCTGGATGATGTCGCGACCGAAGAGCATGCGGTGGGGCCACTTGCGCTCGTCGGTGCCGAGCGTGCGCTTCTGGTGGTAGAGCATCTCGTACAGCGCCTCGATGATTTGCAGTCTGACCACCCCGTAATTGGTCGCCTTGGCCTCTTTAATGAGAGCACGGCGGTAGTTCTGAGACTTGGGGTAAAGCTCGTCGACGTACGAGGGGTTGAAGATAGAGTTGACAAAGGGCGAGTCGTCGGCGGGCTTGAGGAACTCGGAGCGCATCACCATCCATGTCTTGGCGTTGGGGTAAGCGCGCTGGACATCGCGGAAGATCTCAGCAGCGGACTGGCCGGCACCGATGACAGCGACTCTGTAGGGCCTCGAGTTGTCGTTGAGGATCTGAGGAGCCAGCTGGGCGTACTGGGAGGAGTGGATGATTCGAGGGTGCTTGGCGGGGAGAACCTTGGGGAGGCGGGGCTGGCCGCCGTTTGCGATAAGGACGTTGCGAGTCTGGTAGGAGCTGACCTGGCCGGTCTTGATGTTGCGAGATTTGACTGTCCAGGTCTTGACGCCGCCGGCGGTCTGGGGGTCCGGGGAAATGGAGACAACCTCACGGCCGTACTCAACGACGTCATCGAAGTGACGGGCACACCAGCGCAGGTAGTCCTCGTACTCCACGCGGGCGGGCAGGAAGGTGTCGAGGTTGGTGAATTCAACCAGGCGGTCGTTGCAGTGGAGGTAGTTAAGGAAGGTGAACTGCGAGCGCGGGTTGCGCAGCGAGGCCATGTCCTTGATGAAGGAGATCTGCATGCGGGCGCCCGACAGGAGCATGCCCGGGTGCCATGCGAACTGCGGTTGCTTCTCGAGGAAGAGCACCTTGGGAGCCGACTGCCCAGGGGCGAGCTGGCGGCCAGCCTCCTGGAAGTCGTGCATGGCGACAGCGACTGACAAGCTGGCGGGGCCGAAGCCAACGCAGATGAGGTCGTGGATTTCGCTGGGATCGCATGACTGCAGGTACTGAGACTTTTGAATGTGGGAGCGGCTGGGGTGGTGACCATTCACACCGTTGCCATTCTGGTAAATAGCGCCGTTGCTGTTGCCGTTGGTGAAGCCGTTGCCGTTGAATTGGGAAAAGCCGCTGCCGGCGTCGGAGCCGTTGGTCGGTGAGTCGCAGTGAGGAGACATGATGACAATGATGGTGGTGGTGGGGTATTATGTGGTGGTTGTAAGTGTGTGTGCGCGCGCAGTTATGTATGTTTGAGTCGCAATGGACGGCGGGGGTATATTTTGACGAGCGTATCGAGCAAATGAGATGCCAATGCCAGAGTGACTGAGAGGGAGGAGCGGGCGCTTTAAGTTGTCAGCTTCATGACCCTCAAAATGCTCGATTTCGGGGAGTGGGAGCATCAACTGACCTTTATTCCGCAACTCTTTGAGACGGTTCGAATGAGATGCTGCCCGGTGCAAATGCGGGAGGCGGGTGCGAAAGCGCGCGGGGTAATTCCTTTTTTTTGGAACTTTTTTTTCCCCTTTTCTCCAATGCCGGTATTTCCCTTGTGACTTTTGAGAAGTTTACTCCACGGTGGGTTCAAGCCACACTGTTCGTCATCGACTCGCAAAGAGTGGCGCTCGGGTTGAAGCCTTTGGTATAACAAGATGAGCCACTGGCGGTTGAATGGACGGTTGGATGAGAAATGAGGGAGAAATTGCGAGCTGTAGAGAATCGAGAGACGCGCTGGGGGGGAAAGATCGGAAGGCAGAGGGGCGCCAGGGGACTAATATGTAAAACGGACAGACGTCGATGGATGCTGGCGTCCCTTCGAGGCGGCGTGATCGACCGACCGACCGACCGACCGACCAGCTCGAAGCTGGGCCCTCGGAGCTCATGAACGAGCAGATGAGATGGAGATGGGTAGGGGTACTCTGTACATGTGGTCTCATCGTTTGTTACACGCCCCCAAGGCTGGTAGCTGCCGCCAGGACTATACGTATTGGGAGGAGCCTACTCAAATTGCAACATTCGGTTCTTCGCTCAAATGGGGCAACGTCGTCGATGTTGCGATCCTGTCATTCTGCTGGACAAGGTCTGTGCAGGACCCTTGCCAATCGTGTTTGAGAGGGGAGCTGTATTGGTGTACGCAGTAGTGCCAGCTCGGCTTAAAGCAAGAAGCCATCCACAACGGACGCCTTTCCACATCTAGGGGCCAGGGCCAGGGACAGAGTTGCAACGGGCTGACTCCAGAGATGGGCTTCCTAGTAAGGGACGCCCTGGGAAGAGGGTCTGGGTCCACGTTCGGGTTTGCGTCTGCACCTGCTCCTGGTTCATGTTCCGGTTCTGGGTTCTGGCAGACCGGGACCACATACTAAGGCCATGTACGGGGTATCATCCGTACACGGCCCCAGATGGGAACCTGTGCGTACACATAGGCATAGCCGACACGCGAGGGAAAGCCACTTCGGTTGTCGGAGAACGACCAGGTAGGCGGCAAACTAGTTTTTGCAGACGACGAGAAAAGCAATGACAAGCAGAGCCACATAGAAGATGGTGTCTGGAATCGGCGGCGGCGAGCGGCGGCGGTGCGCAGCACTTGGCGCCTCGACCATCATTTGCATGTGCCGGACCGCAGGAGTGGAGTGGGCGGGAGGGATGGACCGGAGGCAAAGAAGTTTGAACGAAGGGGTACTATCCCAAGGAGAAAAAGAGCCTAGGCGAACGATTCGATGGGCGAACAGTTTTCCCAACGTGGGGCAGTATGTCTGACTGGACCCTAGAAGCCTCAGCTAATGCTCGTCTGAGGCAAGGTGCAGATTCAAACAAGACAGGTTCAGCTTCAGCCGAAGCCGAGCTGCAGCTTGCAGTGCTTGTGTCCTTTGCTGAGCTTTTCTGGGGAACGCCCCCCTATAGCGAGCGAGGGTCGTAGACGTCTTCTCTCCAACGTCGTCCCGACCGTCCGGGTCTGACGTGTCGCTCGGCTGCTGACGGTCGCGGTCCAAAGACCACAGGGTATGGAGATGACATTGAAAGCACCCAGGACGGACTGCTCGGCCATCGTGGGTAGCCCGTGCTATAGGAAAAGACACAAAGCCGTCGGTTTACGAGAACTTCTCGCCGGCGGTTTCCAAAACGATGCAGATCGATGGTACTAGCGAGACCCACTCCCAATTGGTCGTCGTGCAGAAGTCGGACGGGTCCAATATGCAGGAGGAGTAGGAGGGACGGCGATGTGGGAAGCGAAGAGAGGGGAAAAGAATACAAAGAGAAAAAAAAGTCAGAGAGATGCAGGGAGGGAGGGGTGGCACAGTCCAGCGAAGGACAAGGAAGAGAGCGAAAAAAAAAATCGATGATGGAGGTTTTTGCACGATGGGTGGAGTGGGAGGGGAGGGGTCCTGATGCGATTTCGGGGTTATCTTCGGATCTGATAAGATCAAATCTCTCACTCTGGTTTCGCTCCTTCCGACTTCATCCCAGCTCGTTGAGGTCCCCGGCAGTAGGGGGAGAGCCCGAATAACCCTGAGAAGGACCCCAAGGAAGGAGCCTAGCGGAACGGGAACAGCCTAAATGTGTGCCTCAGGTCAATGCCCGTGTAACCACGTCAGGCACATACTCTAGGTACTAATGCCCTTCTTCTTTCCCAGAGTCTACTTGAGGAAACCGCCTAGAGGATTCTGGACTTGGGAGGTACAGGCGCAAGTGAAGCGTTTTCGCAGCAAAAACCATGCTCTGTAATGAAGAACTCTGACATCCCTCTACATCTTCTTCTGAGCCAGCGAACATGTCTGGAAGCTCAGAGGAAGAAGAGCCAAGGTGCAGATGCCCACCAAAGCCTCCAGAGGCTTCGCATCGGATTGGAATGGCCGTGGACTATGGAACGAACCTGGGCGTGTACACTCCCAGTGCCCAGTGAGCCAGTGGGCTGTGGAGGCGGCAGGATCACTAAGGAACATGAGTCGAGGACTTTCTGGTCGTGCGAATCTTTGCTCCGAGAGCGGGCAGAAGCGACCAGGGGTTTACGAGAAGTCCTCGGGATGGAGATGCCAGGGGGGCGTGTTGACATCCAAAGCTCCAGAGG